GTCAATTACACTGAAACAACCCAAAGTGTTTCATCTTGTCAAAGAAGCTGCCAAAAAATTTCAGTCCTCATTAGCCTTTAGCCAGCAAAATGTCTACAGCCTAACATATTTACAGTTGTACATTTCCATATCACAAGTCGGTAAATCAAGCCAAGCCAAGGCCAAGCCTTCAAAACGTTTAGCACCATCTGTCACAATACTGTATTACAAAATACCTAGATATCATTTAGAACAATACAAAAGTACAAGGACACAAGGCAAAGTGATGTCAATGGTATCAGATTCACCAAGGATTTTACCGAGACACACACAGCTCAAAGGAACATTGAAAAGCAAACTTTGGAGCATTGTGAGATTCAAGTTGCTGCAGGAAGAATGCGACCGTTAGCAGAACAATGCAGTTCTGACAGTAAGGGGCAGGTCTTTGTACTATTGAATATCCATGAGTTAATTGTGTGTGGCCAATAATGTAACCTAACCAAAGACACACACAAATCACAATACAGTAGCGTGATGCATCAAATGAACAAACCCACAAAGGTCGTGATGAGGATTCGAACTTACATCCGAGAGCATCCCAGACGCCGCCTTAATCAAAAGGTCTCTAACCAGAAACCTTTCCCCATTTTGACACAGGAGGAGGAAAATCAGGGTTAGGTCACTATTGTAACTCTTAGTTTTTGGAATAGCTAACCATCTCTAACAGATGTATATGGTATTATCTGTGAAACGGTAGAAATCAGAGTAAGGAATTTACTTCTGAGTGATGAAAGAGGCTCAAAAAGCCTCTTTAGCAGTTGCATCCTTAAGGTCATTAGAAAGAACACCAATATGGTCTGGAGGCAAGGAAGGCAGGAACCCAAGCTAATTGCTGAGAAGTGGGAGCTGAACTGAGCCATAGAGATAAAGAACAAATGCTACAGCAAAAATGGAGTTGCCTACATCCTACTGAATTTGAATCCGGTTAAACATTACAAACCATTCAGTTACTGAGGAAGTTCCTTTTGATGATACAAAAATCGGGAGGGAAATAAGACAGAAAAAGACTCTGTATCACTTTCAAGATTATCTAAATAGGGTTTTGAAATGGTCAAAAGATTGGCAGATGCAGTTTAATACTGACAAATGTAAGGTTTTTAAGGCTAGGCAATGATGATAGTTACAAGATACGAGCAAGATGGTGTTGAGATTGCGAAAGGGATCTGGTAGTTATGATTAGTAAGAATTTAAAACCAAAAAATCAATGCATAAATGTTCGTAATAAGGCAAATATGACATTGGAATTTATTAATCGAAGAGTTACTAATGAGACACCTGGTGGTGTTCTTCAGCTATATTTTGGTCTGGTTAGGCCCCTATTAGAATATGCAGTTCAGTTTTGGTCGCCATACCAAATGGATAAAAATTCACTAGAACACGTCCAGCATAGGATGACAAAGTTAATTCTGCAAATTAGAAACCTGTCATATGAAGAAAGATTGACAGAGCTAAAATTACATTCACTGGAAAGGTGAAGAATTACGGGGTGACAAGATAGAGGTGTACAAGTGGATGAATGGATATAACAAAGGGGATATTAACAGGGTATTAAAAGTATCAACACAAATCGGAACATGAAACAAAGGGTATTAATTGGATAAGTTTAGATTTAGGAAAGACATGGGTAAATACTGGTTCGGTAACAGGGTTATTGATTTGTGGAACCAATTACCATGTAACATGGAGGAGGTGGGGGCCCCTTGATTGTTTCAAGTGTGGGTTGAACATGTATACGAGTGGGATTGGGTGGTTATACCCAATCCTATGGGCAGTATTGGCCCATACTGCTGCCTCGTATGGGCCAGTAGGCCTTCTGTTACCTTTATTCTTATGCTCTTAAGGCCAACATGCAGATCCTTAATAAATGGGAGATGGAGACCATGATTAAGTAAGTAATTATCAAAACAGGCATCAAGCTGGGAAGGCTATGTAGCACCATCAAATGTGCGGGATAATCACAGGGCACTAAATATCACCAAGGATGCCAATACGAGAACAAAAAACGCATAAGGCAAGACCATGATCAACATCAACCTGGTAAAGGTCCTAGGTACCAGGTTCAAACCGAAGGGACAAATCCGTGGATAAATTAGTAGAGCCCTATTGCGAAACCTCACATGCAGGCCAAGTAATTATCAAAAGAGACAAATGGCCTCTGGAGGATTAGTAAAGCTAGACATACAATTATCTAAAAATCAAGACACTCTACAAGGAGGTGCACGACTAAGTGGGAGAATGAAGTTCGGACAAAATGGAGCAAGATGTTGTTCCATTAAGTAACCATGAGTTAAGTGAATGTGACCAATATGCAACCAAGCCAGAGCCATTTTCTATTGTTTATTATGGTGATAGAAGGAAGGCCAAGGGAGAAAGGTCACTTTCAAAAGCACATACAGTAGTTTATTACAGGCAGTTCCCCAATTAGGAACGAGTTATGTTCTGAGACTGTATGTAAAGCATTTGTTTAGGAATGCAGATCAAGATTTTCCATAGAGACAATGCTGTAAGTGGGATTCCTAGGCCACCAAAAATCCTCACAAAACCAATATTTTTGAGACATAATATATAAAAAACCACATTATTTACCTTGACTGATGAGTTATCCTGCTTGTCTAAGTTAGTTGTTTTTGAAGAGTGAATTACACGGAAAAAATTAATGAAAACACATGTGCACTATATTGGTGGTTCACCATTTTGTAATTGACCTCAAGAGTATATGCCTCCCCACCCTCCTCCTATTACCAGCTCAGGGCCCCGCCCCACCAACAAAGTAAACACAATCAAATCATGAGAGTGTGGGTCATTGAGGACTTGAGGCCACTGATTGGACTGTATCTCACACACCTACACACACAAACCAACACCCCCTCCCCTATGTGCCCTGTACTCTGTACTACCAGTGCCTTCCTCACATGCCCTGTACTACCATCCTGTTCCTGGCTGTCGTATCCTGCACCTGAATCACTTTGTTGCACTTTCCTTAATCTTGCAGTTAATCAACTTTTGCACTTCAAAACTCTTCTTTACATTTTCAGGCCTATCTATTATCAGACCACCACACATGCTGATCAGAGTGTCCATTTCTACCACTTTAATAATTCTTGGGTCTTCATGGTCATCTTGCCTTACTACACGAGTGTCAGCACCAGCACTTTTATCCATATTAAATTATTTTACAAAATGAATACGGTACCGTAGTTACTTATTTTCTACTAAAATTTTGGTAAAAATGTAACATACTCTGAGACTAATCAATATATTTATATATTCTTACCTGGTTGATGGGGTTCTGGGAGTTCTTCTGCTCCCCAAGCCCGGCCCGAGGCCAGGCTTGACTTGTGAGAGTTTAGTCTACTAGGCTGTTGCTTGGAGCGGCTCGCAAGCCCACATACCCACCACAGTCCAGTTGGTCTGGCACTCCTTGGAGGAAACAATCTAGTTTCCTCGTGAAGATGTCCACAGTTGTTCCGGCAATATTTCTTATGTTCACTGGGAGGGTTTTGAACAACCGTGGACCTCTGACGTTTATACAGTGTTCTCTGATTGTGCCTCTAGTTCCACCCATACTTTGAATACAATAATTTTTGTTGAATGTTCCAATCTGACAGAGTAAAATTTTGGTATACTGTATGTACTACCAGGTCCCGGTAGTAGAGCCGGGTTCGTTCTCGATGCACAATCGAGAATTCTGATTGAATCCTGGCTGGGACAGAAATGGTTGGGAATATTTCCTTTTACCTAATGTTTCTGTTCACCTAGCAGTAAGTAGGTACTCAAGAGTTAGGCCAGTTTGTTGTGGGGGCTGCATCCTGGGTCAGTAATTTGACCCTGGGGGGGGGGTTGTCTCGATAAAAAGCCTAACGTGTATGAATATTCTCTGGCTTGTCTCCCAGACACAGTGAGTTTATTATTATGTGTGTCATAGCTTAATTGTGATGGAGCAATGATACCAACTTGATGGGGTTCTACGAGTTGTTCTACTCCAAGCCCGGCCCGAGGCCAGGCTTGACTTGTGAGAGCCTGGTGAAGTCTGGCAATTCGTGCGAACTGACAGAGCAGATGCCTGCAGCAGTCTGCTCCAGACCTGCTGTGGGGTGGGAAGTGCCACAAAAATATATTTACAGCACAGTACTGTACTGTATTTCATTGTCTCTGGTTTTTGGGTGTTTTTCCAGTATTATTATTCAGTTCTGTGTAATCTGATAAATTTCTATAATAAAATGTGTGGAACTTCACAATAATTAAGAATCAACATCTTGAGGTTATCTTGAGATGATTTCGGGGCTTTTAGTGTCTCCGCGGCCCGGTCCTCGACCAAGCCTCCACCCCCAGGAAGCAGCCCGTGACAGCTGACTAACACCCAGGTACCTATTTTACTGCTAAGTAACAGGGGCATAGGGTGAAAGAAACTCTGCCCATTGTTTCTCGCCGGCGCCCGGGATCGAACCCGGGACCACAGGATCACAAGTCCAGTGTGCTGTCCGCTCGGCCGACCGGCTCCACCAGCCAACATGCTAGCCAGCTGATAATGCCTCCAATATGCCTATCACTAAATCTAGGCACAATGTTGCTATTATCACCACCACCCTGATAATGGTATAGAATATGATAAATTTATATAATAAAATGTGTAGAACATCGTTATACTAAAAAATATGGTGTATACCGTGTATATGTATTAGTGACAAGATTATGATATTCTTAAAACAATAAAACTATTGTTTTAAATGCTCTTATTGCACTGCATATAGATTACAGTATTTATATATATAATTATCTACACTTTGCTTCACCCTTCTACTTGTTTCCTACTTGAATGTGCTCTCTGAAGCAATCTTCATCCCTTTCTAAACAAACTTCTATCTCCGCCCGGCTAATTAGAAACTGGTGCATGTTGTGCATAGCAAAAGCAACAGGCAGTGTTCTTCTGAATGCTTTTTGTATACTCCTACACAAGCCTTCAACACTTTAAAGTGATTGAAATAATCATTACGGGGCAGCAAACAGTACAAATTGGTGCTACCTCAGATTTTCAGTACTAAGGCATAACACGGTGCTGAAAGAGAGAGAAGATGCGTTCCTTCAGAGCTTTCATTAATGACTCCCACATTTAATTTTGTTCAAGTCTATTTAACTGAAAATATTGAACAACATCTTATCGAGAAAAAAATTACTTGTCATACTACCACTGCTTCTCATCAACTGATTTTGTATCACAGATATACCTTTTAAAAGTACAAGACAACAACAACAACACACACGTCTAAATTTTGTGGCACCACAATTTCTCATCATATCTTCTCCCTGGGAGCACAGTAATAAAAAGATTTCTCATGCTTACATAGTAATCTCCAGAGCATGGAAATTAGATGATGATACACATACAGTGACTAAATGTTTTATAAAATATTAAGGAAAATAATGTGGCATGGATACGTTTTCTGCAAACGTAATCAATGGAAAATTTAAGAATTTAAAAGTAGTAAACCATCTGCAATATTAAATTGCACAATACACTAAAAATGTTTTCAACCTTACATATGGCACATGACAGTATGTTTGACATACTCGTTACTAAATGATGAAAATACGATCTAAAATAATGTATATACAAGAGTATATATATAAACACATGCTATGAAATTGAAACAATGACCAAGACTGCATCTACGCCACATAAAATCTTTGGTCAGTAATTTCCTATTCACCCGTATTGATGTGCTCAAGCACCTCCGATACACGACTTGTCCAAATATTTAGTAAGACTTCAACTTGTATTACATAGCTAACAGTGACAAAAATAAAACAATACACCTAAACTTTCTATCACATTTCCATTACAAATCCTGGTGATCATCATTCATACTTAGAGGGATGTAAGACGGTAACGTGTGTGGGAGTTGTGACTTTGTTAATATGCGCGTTTCATTGTTAAAGAGCTTGTTATCACTTTTTACATGTTCTATATTTTTTTCATTACTCTGTACTTTTATATCAACAGTTAATTTATCGATTTCCTCATCTTGATCAACGTAATTTGGCAGGTCAGTTTTGCTAAATGATAAATCCTTCTCTTTCTTTGCCTGGGTTACAAATTGTAATTTAGTGTCGTTTTCCCCTTCTACAATATGCTTATGTGCACTATGAAAACTTTTCATTTTATCAACTCTATGTAACAATCGCTGTCTGGTTTCCTGAAAGTCTGAAGTGTTTGGGGAAAGATGACAACCTAAAGTCGAAGCCATACCACGCACTTTATTGTTTGTCAAAACTTCTTGGGAACATTTGTCAAGAGTTCTGGCCAGATGATTATGGGTGACAAACACTTTATCACTTTTTATATCCAGTGCTCTTTCCTCCCCGTCTCTCTCCCTTGCTTCTTCTGTATAATCTCTACTAAACTCCGATTCTTCTTGCGTTTCTTTATCTTCAACCAACGACATTACCTGGAAATATCTTTGCTTGACAGCTTTAGTTGTTTTTCCTCTTGATTTATTCCCATTTCTTTTAACTTTTGGTCCTCCAAGTACATCTCTGCTTTCACTTATTTTTCTTTTCTTGTGCCGAGAAACAGATGGCTGCATCTTTTCTCCAATAGGTGGTTCCAAAGAAACAGATTTTCTCTTCTTGCCTCGTCCTTTGCGATGAGACAGTGGACAAGACACACCTCTTGGACACTTACCTGTTCTGCTGAACTCTTCACATACCAAAATATGTTGCTTCTTACACTGAAAAAACAAAAACTTTCGTAAGATTGAATGCTGGATACCAAGCTAACACATAAATATAATAGAGACCTCTGCAAGCTTCTAGCCTTTTAGCAAAGAATTATTTTTTTTTTTTTTACCACTAAATTTATCACTCACCTTAAAGCTACCAACCACTTGGGCTGGACGGTAGACCGACTGTCCCACTTCATACAGGTCGGCGTTCAACCCCCGACAATGCAAGTGGTTGGGCACCATTCCTTTCCCCCGTCCCATTCCAAATCCTTATCCTGACCCCTTCCAAGAGCTAAAAGTTGTAATGACTTGGCACTTTCTCCTGATAATTTTCTTCTCACCTTAAAGCTGGTTGCACTGCAAACCATTTTCAGCAAAAACTTCTTATACCTTTTGTCTTAATTATTTGTTAAATTTGCCAAAAGCCATTTTCACATTTGTTAAAAATTCAAACCGCCATAAAGCACACACAAACTGACTTGAATATCACTACCCTCTCCCCTACATGGCCAGTTAGCAAAATTCCGTTGGCAGTCCAAGAACCCAATGACCTTCGGCCAACTTGTTAATTTGCACAAAACAAAAAACCTTAGACTTTATCTTTATTGGGCATTTTCCTTATTGTTTGCATGTAAATACATTTTTTGTAAGAACAATTCCCCCAATATATTACTGATCACGTAACTTTGCCATTACAGCAGCCCCTTAAATTTTTTTAATGTAATGAAACGCCTCTTCCGATAGCTTTAGGGAACCACCGAGGCCCTATCCGAGATGATTTCCCTCCTACCACCCAGTCGCATCAGCCATAGGAGTCTTGCACAGTCTACCAGAGATTGGGGCCAGAACCTTGCCCCTTCAAAGAGACACATGGGAGCAGGGGATTATTACAATCATCTTCTCCAAGAAAGCATTAAGTGAAGCAATACAGACAACTCCAAAGTTTAAAGACAACAAGGCGATTAAATCAGCCCCAACAAATTTGCAAACCACTAAAGGCAATTGATTTGCTCGAAACTAACTTAAAACCCTCTTAATTGGAAATGACCACCAACAGGTGGCAGTACCATGTGAGTTCCAGGACTCTGCCCCCTTTCGTCTCTCGGTCCAGACCCGATAGACCGATGCACCTTGTAAGGAAGGGGAAGCAAATCAGAGAACCACTGAGGCCCTACCACAAAAGGGCATTTCATTTAATTCAACATTTGTTTTCTGGAGGGGCATCTTGGTGGCTCCCTGAAGCCATAACATTTCAGCAAAATGGCTTTAGGAAGCCACCAAGAGGCTCTTCCAGAAGTGTCCACATATTATTTCCAATTAAGATCTGTTGTAGATTTTCAACAAATTATATTTTAGATTTATTACATTCTGCAAATGGAAAACCTATTGGCATTAGAACCAAGGTGATAAACACAACCGAAAGTACACATTATCAACAACAACAACAACTGGGTTGTAACAACGCTTTGTTACAACCCAGTTGTAACAAAGCGTGAAAGCCACTTTAGATTACAATATTACCTCATTTGAAAACTAACTGGATGATCAATGACATGACAAAAAATTGCCACAAATGACAACAGTAAAAATTTAACTTACTGCTTCTCCTGAAAGACAATGTCCTTTGAGAAAGTCTAGGCATATTGGTGCAGACGGGTTAACTCTGACATGGCGATACGGACACCCATCCCGTGTACATGTTGCGCGTACAAAATGTGAACATACAGGCATCTTATCTGGATCTACTATGTGTGAAAATGGGCAGTTGTTGACAGGACATCTACCTCTCAGGAACCTGTAATCAGAAGGATAATAAATTTTCATTAATTCTGTACAAGACTTAGCACACATTCAAAATGATATTAAAAGGCAATAAAACAAAATATACTTATTATAAATTTTTTCAGCTTCCTTAACTGAAGTATAAATAGAAAAGCCAAGAAAAGAAAAGTGAAATAATGTGATCATGTAATTACCTAAGTGTAGTTACAGGATGAGAGCTACGCTCGTGGTGTTCCGTCTACCCAGCACTCCTTGTCACATAACACTTTGAAATTACTGACAGGTTTGGCCTCCACCACCTGTGCCAGTTCATACATGTTTGTAAGTGTTGGTTAATGTAGTCACTGACACCAAGGTCAACAGACTAGAAATGGACCTTTAAGCTAATTACCGATAACTCTCGCTAAGCCAGATCATACGAGGCCTACCCTTCTGAGTTAGCCAGACATCCAATTTCTTCAAGAAGCAACTAGATAAGTTTCTACAAGAAGTGCTGGCTCAACAAGGTTGTAGTGGATATGTGGCCCTAAGGGCCTCCCCAAGCAACAGTCTGTTGGACCAAGTTCTCAAGTCAAGCCTGGCTCTAGGCTGGCTCGGGGAGCAGAAAAACTCCCAGAAACCTCACCAAGTACATTAAAAAATTTGTGCATTGTTTTGTCAGGGTTAAAAATATTCTAAACAGCTGCTGTTTTTAGAGCATTTTGGCTTTCTAGCAGGTCATTTCCTCAGTTCTGTAGTGATCTATGATCCCCAAGATCCTCTGTACCTCGAAAAGCAGGCCAGATTATGGCTCAGGCAGGAGTTCCAGAGTCTGTCCTGCTGCATTCCCAAAAGCACGGTTGCTCTCAGGTTGTAGCATCAGGAAGCTACTGGATGACCCAAAGGGCATTTGGATGTTTTGTAATATACTTTTGTTTTTTATGCAGCTTTTCTTTGGTTGTGAGTTTATCTCTCATCCTAACATGTTTCCCCCCACCCTGAAGTGGTTGGGCAATATTCTGAACCTTAATCCCAATGAGCCATCAAAGTCACAGGTACCTGGCAAAATAATAGTAGCCCAAGAGAATAAATTTGTTCATCCAGGCAATACCTCCATACTCCAAGAAAATTGCACATAAGAAATGAACAATTATTTGGTTTTCAGTAATCTGACTTACCTAGTGCATACCGCAACTCTCTTTGGATCATGAATATATGGGCATCCTCCTCTATCCTTCTTGGAGCATCTTCCAAATCGGTTAAAAAAGATGCAGTGTTCATTGCGTATCTGTAGAACACCCTTTTTGTGCCTCTGTGAAAGTGTTATCATACTGCGCTGCTTTGCTGAGCTGCAAAACAAACAAAATTATGAGCTGTGAGAAATATTATTTAGAAAAATAGAAATTATTTTGTAGTTAAGCTTAGCATCCAGCAAATACTAAACTGTACATTATTTAACCAAAATCATTAGCACAAGAATTACGGAAACTGCAGAAGGAAAATTAGCCTATACAAGGAAGCTCCCATATACATCCAACAAATTAATTCATATATACTGTATGTAACCTACACTTGAAACAATCCATCGATTCTATGTCTATTATGTTATAAATCTACAACTGTTCCCAAACCAGTATTTACCCAGATATTTCATAAATCTAAACTTATTCAATTTATATCCATTGTTTCATGTTCTATGTTGTTACATTTAAAAAAAAAATTATATCCCATTTGTTATACCATTTCATTCATTTATATACTTCATTCTTATCACCCTTTACTCTTAGTCTTCCCAGAGCATGTAAGAAACCCATTTTTTTAATCTTTTTTTTTAAAGGAAGGTTTTAATTCCTTGACTTAACTTCGTTCATGCTTCTCTGGATGCATTCAAGTGAATTTGTCTATATAGTAAATGAAATGCATAATCTAAATAGGGGCAAACATAAAAATATAAGAATTAAGGAAACTGCATAAGGCTTATTGGCCCTTACACAGTACTTCCTATTTATGTCCACCCAAGCTCACATGTCTGAAATAGGCTTGAAACAATAAAGTGATCCAACATTGTATGTTACTTGGTAATCTGTCCCACAGATCAACAACCCAGTTTCCAAACCAATTTTTACCCAGGATTTTTCTAAATTTAAGCTTATCCAATTTATATTCCTTGATTCATGTTCTGTTTTGTATCAATATATTTAATATCTTATTAATATTCCTCCTTGAAATGCCTACTAAGCCTCCTGTACATTCAATCAGGTCAGCCTCAACTTTGCCTTTCTAGAAAATGTAAATTAATGTTTAAATCCCTTCACACGGAAGGCTTCTAATTTACGCGACTGTCATCCTTTTGGATGACAAGTTAGTCATACTGAATAACTAAAGTCAGATGAGGAAAACAAATGTGAAAGTGGAAGCTGCCTGAAACACCCTAACCTAACCAGAAAGGTCAGAAAGAAGAGCCACATGGGGAGAGCAAACCCAAAAGACTTGGGGGTCAAAGATGTCACAGACCCAATGGGCAGCATGGCAGAGGCAGAGCAAGTGATGTTGTGCCATGAAAACCCCAACGAGCAACCCTCAAACTCACAGAAAGCAAGAGCAGGTTCAGAAGGCATCCCCAAAGAACCACTGAATCCGCAGAGGTTTGCCAGGGCCTGAAGGGTAAACCAGGCAGGACACCCAGGCACTTGGGATGCTACACCAGACCTAAAAGTTGACACAGCCTGGATTACTTTGCTCAGAAGGTCAACCTTGACATGCTGAAAGGAAGTCTACATATCACTAATGCACCCCTGCCAGCCAAAGTTGCTCCCAACCCAGGTTAAAACAGAGGAGTCACCAGACCCCTGCGCAAGGATCACCACAAGCAAGGGGTGGTGATCACTAAGGGATCGATTTCCAATCACCCAAGAGAAGACAACTCTGGCAATGCAAGGGCAGTGCTAGGGAGCACAAAGAGCAGGAAACCCTGAGCACATGCAGCCCCATGCACTCTAGAAGTCAGGCTCACACTACACTGCAGTGTACAAGAAAAGCCACCAAAGGCAAAGACCCAAAATCACTTAGCTGAACAGTGGTCCCTGCATGGCAAAGAGGCAACCCAGGAACCACTACAGCAGTTAAATGACCTCGACTGCATTAGTAAGAAATGACAGCTCAGACCCCCAGAAAAGTGAGTCCCTCACTTAACCCTTAAACTGCACAAAACCTCATATGATGTGTGACATTTAACTCAGTTTTTTAAATTTTCTGAAACTCTTTCAAATGTTTTGTAAATAATCTACTAGACAAATGCTCCAACTTTGTCTAAATGATACCAGTGTAAATTGAAAAACAAGAAAATAAAAAATAATTATAAAATTGAAGATTGAAAACTTCAGATTTTGCAATCGGCTGCAAAAATATAAAAATATCAACAAAATGTTCATTTGGTGTTGTTATGCTCTCAGAATAGCATATGATCTTCAGTTTCATATATTTAGAATATAGGTTTTCAGTATAGTTTACTGTAAAAAAAAATTGTCAATATGGCATTTGAAATATACGCAAATTTAGACAAAAATTTATAACTCCAAATGTTTAGTTTATGAAAAATCAATTCTATAGGGATTGTAGAATAGACAGCTGTGCACACTATATATAAAAATGGTGAGAATCGGTCAGAAACTAGATTTATGGATACTGAAATTAAGTTGAAATTCTAGTTAGAGATATAATTGAAGTTGAAGTTATTGACAATGAATAAGGCAGTTCTAATTCATGAATCTACTTGTATATTTTAATAAACATTGTTTGGCATTCGTACTCAAGTATGTGAAAGCTGTAGGTCAATGTGTGTGTAGAAATGAAGTCAAGAAAATATAACCCCCCCCAAAAAAAAAAAAAATATAGGGATAATTATAATGATTTAGGGAATATATTTAGGGAATACTTTATATAAGTAAAAAAAAGTCCTAATCTGGTCCCTAATCATCAAAACAACCTAAAGAAACAAGGAAAATAGTTTGAAATCTGTGAAAAAATCAGCCAAAAAAATTCAGTCCCAAGTTCTGAGAGTTGTAACTGATTTATTTGTTGACCAATTTAATTCTGGCTTAGAATAGTTAGGGACAAGTATGCATTCTCCAGGATGTAAAGGTTAAACAAATTCAAATAATAAACAAGGGAGGGAAAAAAACTAAAAACCTAAAAAAAAAAAAAAAAAAAAAAATTTTTGGACTGTTGAAAGTAACTGATAACATTGGGCAATGTATTTATATGATATATAACAAAATAGAGCATAACAACATAATAACACAAATAATAATGAGTAATTATGTATTACTCACCAATGCTATAAAGGCACCAGCTGTATATCCACTTTGAGGACACTTCTTACTACTATTTTTCTTTGTGCATCAGACATGTGCTTGCATCTCTATTATTGCATTATCCATCAGTTCCAGCTAATAGGAGCTGTTCTCTTTTTATCAACAAAACGTTCCTTTTTTTTTTTAAATATTTGTCTAAAATCAATTTCTGAAAATATTTTGATGAAAGTTTCACGAAGTTGAAGCCAGTAAGTTGGAGATTTGTTTAACATTTTAAAGTAATTTTTACACAATTCGAATATTTTTCGAATTATAGTCCCCCTTCAATGTCACACATCCTATGACGTTTTGCGCAGTTTAAGGGTTAAATGAGTTGAGGTGGTGGAGTAAACAAATGCATTGCTAGTTTCAAGAGATTCAATTGTTTGTTTACATAGTTGGTAGAGTTCATCAGGAGGTTGTGAGGCTTTGATTTCTTTTGAACCCAGTTATGGCTTGTTTCAGCCCGTCCTCCAAAGATCCAAAAGTGATTCCATGCACCCGCCAAACCCCCTGTTTATGAATGAAAAGCAGTTTACACACGACTCACAACTGCTGACGTTCGAACATATCCGGAACAAGTGCTTCACTGACGAATTTTGTTCGAATCACAACGCTATATATGCTTCACCCACGTACTACAAATACAAATAATCGCCAACAGAACCTAAACACCTAACCTAACCTATATATACACAATATGCTATTATAATATTAATTTATACTTGAGAAAATTCCCGTTTTGAATAAACATGTTAAAATTTATGAATGCGTCTGTGGGGTTGACCGCTGAATGTAATGGACTTGAGTCGAGGACGGGTTGCTTGTTTCAATTTTTTGTATGCCTTCCCTGGTGAGATGGCGAAATGTCACCACTCCCTGTGCCTCTGAGATGGCCAGGTTCTGGTCTGGTCCCCAGTAAGCCCAAGAACTTAATGGATGATGTGACTTGGTAGATGAGAACCTTGTCAGTGTACAGCTTCAGAGAGCCAAAAGGGATTCCCCCCTTCCAAGATATGGAACAATATACAAGCAAATTGAGCCTGCAGAACAAAGTCCAAAGAATGAGCAGCACTTATCTGTAAATACCAGGTCTAAAATTAACCTGTCCTCCTATAGGTTGATGTCACTTTTTGCTCGTATGCATTACACAAAGCCACAAATTGTCGTACATACTAGAAAATGAGAGCAGCTCACGAACATGACATACTGTCCCATTTTCTGTTTTGGGTCCTCCGGTAGGTTAGGAGAGGACATTTTAAATTTACCATTTTCTTAACATTGGGAAACCTTAGGAGGACAGGCTGCTTGAATAGCAAGACAACTGATGGAGCACTGCACGAGGAAGCCCAGTGATGTTTTCTGGTGGTGGGGAGATAGAACTGACAGTAAAATGAACAAACTGCTGGGCATCTCTGTTTTTCTTTACCATGGTTTTGCCTGCTTTGTTTTGCTCTACCTTTCTTTTGACCTTTTCCTTAGTTTGGGTAGTCTAGTACCCTCTGCTCTTTGCACCTTTGTGAGGATGGGGGAGACCAAGTTTTGGCTCTGGCCTGGTATGATTTGATATGTGAAGCTATATACATCTGTTAGTAACAGGGAGCCACCTTGAAACCTTTGCAGAAAAAAAATACATTAATTGAAAACATACCTCAGAACAGCCCTGGCTTGGTGGATTTTTGTCAATTCGTATTGGCCAGCTTTGGTGCGAGAATATGTAAGACCACCAATGTGAACCCTTGAAAGACTGTGATCAGAAGGTAAGGTCTCCGATCCCTTTGTAATTCTTCTCAGAGTTTTTCCTCCAAAGCTTAAGTGAAACTGATCTCCACCAAGCCATACAATGCAGCCAGAATCTACAAAAAATAAATCAAGGTCATTAGTTATTTATATCACTTTTTTTTAAGTAAATAGTGTAAAGCATTTAAAGTAAGTACAGTACAGCAAAAAGAAAAAATGATCTAGTTCAACAGGAATACTAAAAGTTAGGTGATATGTAACTACTGTATACTGAGTGATTGTTAAGAATAAGAAGCTTATGGGTTTCAAAAGGGTCCTCCCATTTTAAAAGTGAATGGTTTACAGAATTGAGAGTAGGTTTTCTTTGATTGCTTCAACAAGAAAGCAGTTATGGTGTCAAATTACTCCAGGTTAAGAATTTCCTTTTCTCTCTTCAGCACTGACTCTGCAAGCTTCAGCCCTTAAGCCATCACACTCAGACACTGCCACCACAACCCTCAAACTGGGTTGGTGGCAGATTTAACATCTTAACAAGTAACATCTTTGAGGCTTAAAACATTCGAGATATTTTAAGCCATGGCCATCTTTTCATTATACTGTAGCCAGCTGACGAATGGTTACAAATGCATAAAGAGGGGAAGAAATTCCTTTCTCCTTTTTGCCAATACAACTTTCATAAATGACAAGAAAAAAAAAAAAACTTTGAATGTAATGAAACGCCAATTTCTGGGTAAGCCCTGCTGGCTCCCTGATAGTATGCCAAATAAGCAAGAATGCATGCATACTACACACACACACACACACACACACACACACATCATTGACAAGCATGGTAGTCAAAACACTAGAAAAAAAAGTTACTGTAAAACCAAATGGATAGAATATTTTAAGAGACAAGACCAAACATACTTGAAGACAAGACAGTATGGTTTTTTAACAGGAAGATCCTGTGTAACAAATCTACTTTGTTTTTGTGATAAGAGCCAAAGAGATTCTACAAGAAAGATATGGTTGGGTTGACTGTGTTTATCTGAATTTAAAATAGGCTTCAGACAGAGTCCCACACAAAAGGTTGATTTGGAAGCTGGAACATACTGGAGGAGTGACAGGGAGACTGCTGACATAGTTGAAAACTTGTCTAACTACCAGAAAGATGAGGGCAGTATGCAGAGGCAATGTATCAGACTGGAGGAGTGTTACTAGTGGGGTACCACAGGATTCAGTTCTTGCAACATTAATGTTCATCATCTATATAAACAATCTATCAGAAAGAATGCAGAATTATATGAATATGTTTGCTGATGATGCTAATCTGATGTGGAAGATATGAGACTTGTCATGCCATACTAAATAAACAAAATGGAGCAGTGTATGGAGGGTATGGAGCACCACGTGGCAAGTAGAATTCAATGTGAATAAAGGCCATGTTATGGAATGCGGAATCTGAGAAAATAGGCCGTATACAAAGTACAAATTATGTGAAAAGGAATTAAAGATCTAAAAGATCTATTAGGGGTTCTAGACTGTCACCAGAGAAACACATACAGGACATTGTGCAAGGAACATATGCTACACTAAAGAAACCGTTTGTGACTTTTGCGATACCAAAATTGGAATATGCAGTAGTTGTACGGTGCCCATATCTCAAGCAGCACATCCATAAACTGGAAAAGGTGCAAAGGTATGCTGCAAAATGGCTTCCAGAACTTAAAAACAAGAGCTTCGAAGAGAGGGTAGAAGCGGTAATTCTTGAAACCTGCAACTTCAAGAAGAGATAATAGATTCAAGCTGAGAAAACAAAGGTGCCCCAAAAAATATTATACAGTTTTCTTTTACAAACAGAATGGTAGATGGAAACGTTAAGTGGGAAGGACGTGGATGCCAAAATCATCAGTACAGTAGTTTCAAAACATTACATGGCAAAGAATACTGGGATGACGGGACACCACGACCATACCTCTCATCCTGTAACTAAGAAAGTTACACAGTTTGTAAAAAAAAGAAAAAAAAGGGAAATAAAAAGAAACCAGAAACAACAAAGTACCTCATGTAACTTACCTGATGACTTACTTTTCTGATAAATCTTCGAAAGCTGTTTTGTAAGTGAAGTTTTTGTCGATTTGTAGAGAATCCCTCCAATATTAATGATGCGATCAGAATGCTTGACAGCACTGCAATGTTAAAAGAAGACGACACACAAAAATCAATTAATACGACAGTCTAGGAACAATGATGAACACAAAACTCTTTACTAGTTTTTGGCCACAATTTGTTGATTAATAAAAATCCAACAGACAAAATTATAAATGTTAAAATTTTACATTATTTACCAGTATGGTGATCTGCATTTCTTAAAAAGTATTCAAACGTATGCTTATTTCATATTGCAAAAATTTAAAACAATTAAATATATAAAGAATTAATTTACACTAAAAGGAACAAATGTGTTATTAGTGTTTACATTTACAGTACAACTGTAGTTTACATAACTATGAAAAATAGATAAATGCATTATTTACCCCTTTCTTGCAGCATGTGAAAACTCTGATTTTAATACAGAGTTAAATTTCCTGAAATTATTTTTCTTCACAGGCTCTGCAGAATCGGACTTCAAACGATTAATCTTGTACTTTGAGATAATGCCTCTTGCAGCCTTTTGCTTGGGTGAAAGCTTGGAACTTCTGTTTATGATCTTGTATACAGTCTTTATGCATCTTTTATGAGAATCCTCAGCTGCCTTTCCTGACGACATCGGTATATTACGCACCAGTTTATGACGCCTGATAAGTGTCCCCATATATGGATCACATGAGGTAGCTTTAGCTGTGGATTTAGCAGCTTTAGTTTTATACAGCCCAAAATCTGATTTTCTTCTGACCAGCTTAGTCTTTGAGAGAACAGAGAATTTTGTCTTTCTTTCTACATCTAATACCTTACTGGTATTTGCTTCTCCATCTTGATTAGTATTAGATTTTAAATCACTAGAGCCATTGCCAGAATATCTTCTTACAAGTTTTGTCTTAGTCTTTATGGAATATTTTGGCTTCCCGGACATTCCATCTCCATTTGTACTGCTGCTAGTAGAAAGGCGTCTATTTAGCTTTGAATGGGTCACAAACGAGTAACGTCTTTTAGGGCTTGCCTTTGTGCCTACAGAGTATCTACGGGGTCTTGCTGTAAATCTGAAAGGTACAGAGATAGCTGGAAACCTAGGAGAGCACTCAAACAAACTCCCGTTGTCACATGGTGTTGCCTTAGTAGCAACTTTTTTAGTTTCATCACTAAAAGAGTTACCCGAGCGTCTTCGGACAAGCTTTGTTTTAGAGATTATCTTATATTTACCATTTCTCTTAGGAGTTTCAGCTATTACTTTTGTAATATTATTTCTTGTTTGAACAGAAGTTAGACTTGAGCAATTAACAGAAGTTTGTCGTACGAGTTTTGTTTTAGAGATAACTTTATACTTTCTAACTCCCTTTGATGCATCAGCAGTTGCTATGGTATTTTTATTTATCAATTTTAGTGGAAAGGTAGTAGTTTGGCCAGTGTTTGATATTATGCATGATGGCAGAGGCGTTGACTCTGGTTTAGATATTGCTGAACTTTTTTTGTCTTGGGTACTATTACTAGACAAATATTTTAAAAGTTTTGGGTTTATAAGTATATTTGAATTTCTAGACTGAGAATGAGTTTCAGATAGTTGAACAACCCCATCAGAGTTTTCACTTTCATTCCCGAATGAATGATGCTTGTTTTTACAAGGCAAGATATTTGAACTTTTGCAATTGCCAACTGACTTTATGATACTTGGTACAGTTTTAGCTTGAAGGGCAGTGTCCTGTCTTTGCACATCACAAAAATTATATCTAACCTGTTGTGGTGAATATATATTTATGTTACTAGCCACTTTTAACTTACTTTCATCTGTACTGGACATTCTCGATGTTACAGGTTGACTGGGAAATCTCTTCTGAATATTTCCATTTGATAAATTTTGGTAATGAAATTTATGGGGCGAGAAGTTATGAAGAGGGGCTGGTGTCTTTAATACCTGACTTACTGGCTGCTTTACTAAACTTGCATTTTGTGTTGGAACCTTAGCACTGATCGCTTTCCATGAGTACACAGAAGGGGGTATCACTTTTTTACTTGAGTATGTTGCTAAGGAGTCCAATGGTTTGACTAAACCAGTTCCAGAAACATTACAGGTATTAGATTTATAGTATACATGTTGATTAGTGTTGTTTCCTGAGGGAAATTCTATGCTTGTATTATTTAATGCATGCACATTACTTGGAAATGTCCTCACAGAACATGTGTGTGCATTTGGCTTTCTCAATGGTGAATTGACATTAGAAATGTCAATATCACTGGTATAGCCTAACGCAAGAGAGCATCCGCCAGATGAATAAGTACCAATTACAGACGAAGACTCTGTGTTTTTAATATGACTCTTACTAGGAACTGGCTTTGAAAGCTCCTTTTGTTTCATAAGAATATTTCTAGTGGGATAAAATTTCTGCGGAGGATCATCTGGAGTAGGTTGGGGATCAATATTTGTTAAACGTTCTGCTTCAGACTGGGTTCCTTTAGACTTGAGTAGGAAGGCTGGGTTGACATGAACTTTCGGCTTGGTTTGCCTTTTAGAAGTGAAGAAATCTGGATTGATATGAATAAACTTCTGCTCCTCTTCATGTGCCATCATCCTTTATCCTGAAAAAAAGTAAAATAGTATAATATCCATAATTAAATAAAATTATTAACTAAATATTACATACAAAACTTGAGGAGGGTCTTAAGAGATCTTAAATTAAGAGAGATCCTTGTCCACTAAGCTTCCACAATTAACTGCTCAGCACAGAAAACACACACAATTATCTTTGCCCAGCAAACAACAAAGACCAAAGATATTACAATGCTGAACCCAATGCAAGCAATTACCTACATGTAGTTACAGGACGAGAGCTATCCTCGAAGTGTTCCTAAGAGGACACTACGGGGATAGCTAATCATGTCATGTCTGGTTTGCAGCGGATAAACCAGACTTCAAGGCTTAAAATACTGAACAATTTGTATGATATTCATCCAGACATCTTTAAAAGGTCCAACGAAACAGACAAGGAATATTGGTTTCAAGCTCGAGCCACAATGTAAGACAGAAAACGGGAAATGCTTTTTTATCCATAAAGTTATTAACCCATGGAAACACTTACCTGCCAATGCCACAAACACCTAAATGCTGCTGAATTTTTAAATCCAGCTATAAAAAATCAGGACAAATGGGACAACTTTTGACAACACATCAGCTTCTTGTCACCATTGAAGCCACTAGTGTGTTAGTGGCCCCCACGGGTGAATTTAGGTAAATTCAAGCACGAACAATCCTAAAGGCAGGGGGAATCCTCTGCCATCTCTTGGTGCACAATTTAGTCAAATCAGCATATGGTTTCTTGAAAGCAAACCCAGCCTTACAATCCTGCACACAGTTTTGGAAATGGTAACTACCTATTCAAAGGACTTCCCAACAGACATAGTACATATGGACTAATCTAATGTTTTTAATAGCGTAACACAAAAAACTGGCAAGGAAATTACAAGTACAGTATATGAAATAAATGGTAGAATACTAGAATGGATAAAACAATAATTAAAACAAAAAGCAAAAGGTTGTCCTAAATGGAAATGAAACCAGAGAAATGTGGCAAAGTAATATTCTCAGATGATCATGACATAAGAGAATACAGTACTGTATTATAAGCCGGACTGGGTATGCCCGGACCTGGGGGCGGGCCGGGCAAGGGGAGTAAAAGAACTCGTAGAACCCGATCAACCATGTCGCCACCAGTCCCCGTGGCACAGTGGTAAGACACTCGCCTGGCGTTCCACGAGCGCTTTGTCATGGGTTGGTATCCAGGCCGGGGAGGATTTACTGGGCACAAATTCTTAACTGTAGCCTCTGTTTAACTCAATAGTAAAATGGGTACTTGATTGTAAAAAAAACGATTCTTCGTGGGGGTCGTATTCCAGGGATTTGCCCGAAAAGCTACGTGTACTAGTGGCTGTACAAGAATGTAACAACTCTTGTATATATATCTAAAAAATGTATATAAACTATCATCAAATTTGCAGACAACACTAAGATTTATGGGGAAATTTACTACAATGCTGTAGTGCTTCCTTGAGGTTATCTTGAGATGATTTCGGGGCTTTAGTGTCCCCGCGGCCCGGTCCTCGACCAGGCCTCCACCCCCAGGAAGCAGCCCATGACAGCTGACTAACACCCAGGTACCTATTTTACTGCTAGGTAACAGGGGCATAGGGTGAAAGAAACTCTGCCCATTGTTTCTCGCCGGCGCCTGGGATCGAACCCAGGACCACAGGATCACAAGTCCCGCGTGCTGTCCGCTCGGCCGACCGGCTCCCCCTTGAATGAAGGTAATGAAAAGTTCCAATAATTTTTGCCGTGAAATGCCGTCAAGGCCTTAAAATTTTCATCTTGCTACTCATGATTGTTTTGGTCAGGCTTATGGTACACCACACCATGACTACTCATCGTTAACATCGTTGTGATGATACAACAATGGGTAATTACACTCCGGTAATTACAATAGCCCCCATCATCTTGCTTAGCACTAGATTTTCCCCACGTTATCGACCCCTCTGTAAAATTTTGCCATGATTTAGGCCAATTAAAAATTGCCAATATTGATGCTTCAGGGGCCTGAAGACTGTCTGCTTCAGAAGGCTAGGTGCGTTTCCTAGCCACCCTCCCGCCTCTGGCCTAGCCACCCTCCCGCCTCTGGCCTAGCCACCCTCCCGCCTCTGGCCTAGCCACCCTCCCGCCTCTGGCCTAGCCACCCTCCCGCCTCTGGCCTAGCCACCCTCCCGCCTCTGGCCTAGCCACCGTCACGCCTCTGGCCTAGCCACCGTCACGCCTCTGGCCTAGCCACCGTCACGCCTCTGGCCTAGCCACCGTCACGCCTCTGGCCTAGCCACCGTCACGCCTCTGGCCTAGCCACCGTCACGCCTCTGGCCTAGCCACCGTCACGCCTCTGGCCTAGCCACCGTCACGCCTCTGGCCTAGCCACCGTCACGCCTCTGGCCTAGCCACCGTCACGCCTCTGGCCTAGCCACCGTCACGCCTCTGGCCTAGCCACCGTCACGCCTCTGGCCTAGCCACCGTCACGCCTCTGGCCTAGCCACCGTCACGCCTCTGGCCTAGCCACCGTCACGCCTCTGGCCTAGCCACCGTCACGCCTCTGGCCTAGCCACCGTCACGCCTCTGGCCTAGCCACCGTCACGCCTCTGGCCTAGCCACCGTCACGCCTCTGGCCTAGCCACCGTCACGCCTCTGGCCTAGCCACCGTCACGCCTCTGGCCTAGCCACCGTCACGCCTCTGGCCTAGCCACCGTCACGCCTCTGGCCTAGCCACCGTCACGCCTCTGGCCTAGCCACCGTCACGCCTCTGGCCTAGCCACCGTCACGCCTCTGGCCTAGCCACCGTCACGCCTCTGGCCTAGCCACCGTCACGCCTCTGGCCTAGCCACCGTCACGCCTCTGGCCTAGCCACCGTCACGCCTCTGGCCTCACGCCTCTGGCCTAGCCACCGTCACGCCTCTGGCCTAGCCACCGTCACGCCTCTGGCCTAGCCACCGTCACGCCTCTGGCCTAGCCACCGTCACGCCTCTGGCCTAGCCACCGTCACGCCTCTGGCCTAGCCACCGTCACGCCTCTGGCCTAGCCACCGTCACGCCTCTGGCCTAGCCACCGTCACGCCTCTGGCCTAGCCACCGTCACGCCTCTGGCCTAGCCACCGTCACGCCTCTGGCCTAGCCACCGTCACGCCTCTGGCCTAGCCACCGTCACGCCTCTGGCCTAGCCACCGTCACGCCTCTGGCCTAGCCACCGTCACGCCTCTGGCCTAGCCACCGTCACGCCTCTGGCCTAGCCACCGTCACGCCTCTGGCCTAGCCACCGTCACGCCTCTGGCCTAGCCACCGTCACGCCTCTGGCCTAGCCACCGTCACGCCTCTGGCCTAGCCACCGTCACGCCTCTGGCCTAACCTCTCACACTTCTAGTTTGGCAAAATTGCTGCAGTTCCATGGAGCAAGACTCGCCATTACAGGCTAAACACACCCTAACCTAACCATATTATGCTCTTAACAATTAGAAATAAAGCTTTTGTCACAACACCCGCATACAACACTATACACCAAGTGTAAACAACAGCTGTATCCACTACATTCACAAACTTGGGGGTTAAGTTATTAAGCTTTCAGCTAAATACTCTGCTCTCCAAGACCTAAAAGAACATGTATACATTGTGAACATCTTGTAAGAGGTTAAGTTACTTTCTTTACAATGATCGTCTTGAAGGACGTCCATATCACAAGGTCAGGTTAAGCACCATATACTTAGCCAGCAACTGGATGGGCAACCACGTGGATATACAACTCAGGGTTCAGTATCCAGTTGTTATTTGCCAAGACGCGAGTTAAAACACTGAAATTAATTAATTAACGTTGGTAATATCCGCCAGGAGTTAGTAGGGAACTGTGAGGAGGGATGACCTACATACCTCACTTCCCTCACAGTGGTACCTCGGGATCACACTCCACACTGTTCTATGAGTAGGTTAACACTCTGAGGGTGAAGGAGGGAGTGTGAGGGTGTGAGGGGTAGGGAACACTAGCCACCAGCTGGTACACAGACACACTAGCAATACACAATACCTCAGTCGCCACACTCACACTGCCACCCACCTACCTTTTTATATCTATTTGTATATCAATGACTTTTCAACATTATGACCCCAAATATAATGTTCCTAACAATACAAAAAATTCTACTTAGCAAGAATACAGTTATTAATTAAAGTCCAGTGAGTTAATATACATATTATACAACAACGCACATTAGTCAAACAACACATTCCAGTGTCCAGAAACATGGTCGAACGCACAAACTTCAAGGTTAAGGATAAACTCCTATTATATTTATTATATGGCAGTTATGATTGATATATAACAATGTTTACTGAAGATAAACTTTGAATGAGTAATATTAATTAATAAAAAAGACGTCAGAAGCCATACGCCTGTCGTCAAATGTGTTAGAAGTGTTATGGTCGCGCTTATACTTGTGTGCTAGATAGCGTTCACAACCGTAATCGTCCTCAAGGACTAGAATTAATACAATATTTTAATCTTATAATAATAATAATAATAATAATAATAATAATAATAATAATAATAATAATAATAATAATAATAATAATAATAATAATAATAATAATAATAATAATAATAATAATAATAATAATAATAATAATAATAATAATAATAATTGTAATAATAATAATAATAATAATAATAATAATTGTAATAATAATAATAATAATAATAATAATAATAATAATAATAATAATAATAATAATAATAATAATAATAATATCACAAGGTCAGGTTATAATTATTATTATTATTATTAGAAGGAGAAGGAGAGGAAGAAGGAAGAGAAGAAGGAGAAGAAGAAGAAGTTTACATTATGTTTGTAAAACAACTATGTATGTACTTTCCTGAATAAAATTTACTTTACTTTACTAAGAAGAAGAAGAAGAAGAAGAAGACATTTGCACTAATGTATATACATATGATACATAGACAGGGGGAAGATACATAGTTAAGACAATTAAGACAAGCCACTAATACGCTGTGCACGTATTAGTGGCTTGTCCCACATACAACGTCTTGCATTTTCCTGCATTAAAAAGCATTTGCCAATCTTCCGTCCATTTCTGAAGTTCGCGTAAATCTCTTTATAAGGCCACAATCTCATGTTCACTTCCCACTTTTAACCCTTGTACCTATAATTGTCCTTTCCCTTTATGTTCTCTGTACCTACATTCTTAGTTAGTTGAGAGCATTTATTATTTACCCGAATTTATCTGAGGGCCACTAAGTCCCTGTGCTACGAATGTTATACTTGAGTACTGTAAGATCTCTTATTGATTATGCTGCACCTGTCATTTCTTGTTTTGGTAAAGGTAGGATGGGCAAGTTGGAGAAGGTACAAAATGAAGCAATGAGAATTATCTTAGGATGCCCAAGAAATGCTATGATTGAGATAATGAAGATGGAGTTGAATCTGCAGAGTATTGGGGATAGAATTTCAGAGATAAATGTAGCCTCTGACATTAGATTAATGAGAGGTGGGGGAGCTAATGAATTAATCCTCTCGGTTCAAAAGGTGGGAAGTAGTGAACAGTGTATGATGAAGAAGAGAGTATATATGAATAAATTATGTTATAATGTTATAAAGTATGATGTTATTACAGAGTGTATTGCTGTGCCCAAGAGAAAATTTACACCACCATGGGAGGATTGTAATGTAGATGTAGTAATTACTCCCTTGCATAAGAAAAAAAGTATGTATGAAATAGGAGAGCTGAGGGCAACATATGATTGTATAATTAGAAAACTGCCTACGGAAAACACTCTACATGTATATTGTGATGGGTCAGTAGCTAGGGATGGGAAGGCAGGATGTGGAGTCTTGATCAGGGAGTACACTGACATCGGCACTGTAGATACTGTCATTGGACGCCGCTTAACTGACAATGTCTCTTCAACGCAGGCTGAACTCCAAGGAGTATTAGCAGGATTGCAGGAAGTAGTCAAATGCGGTAAAAATGCTTGCTTCTTTATTGACAGCAGAGGAGCGTTAGAGTCTTTAAATAGCAGACGCCCAGTATATCAGAATATTGTGATAGAGTGTAGAGAGAATGTTAAGAGACTAGAAAAAACTGGGTATAAAGTAAGATTCATGTGGATCCCTTCACATGTGGGAATACTGTTGAATGAGGTAGTTGATGACATAGCGAAGAGAGCCACTGAAAAAACTCTTGTTGATGTTGTATGTCAGTTAACCTTGAAACAAATAAAAACAAGACTCAAGGTGATTCAGGAGGGTAAAGAAATGATAAAGAGAATGGCAATGGTGGACAGTAGTAACACACTTAAGAATTATTCAATAATAAATACAAATTCGTCCTTCACTTATGGTAAAGGAAAGTCTACTTGGAAGGATTCAATTTACATGAGATTACGATTAGGATATAAATATATCTGGCAATACGGTGTTGATGTCAGTGAAAAAGATAAGGAGTGTAAATTATGTAGTATGCCGTATGCCCACACCTTAGAACATTATGTTTTAGAGTGTCACCTTATTGAAAAATATAGAAATAAGGAAATAAATAGTGTACCACATCAAATTGTTTGGATGTGTGATAATGGTATAATAGACAGTATACTTAGGAGCTACAAGAATTTTGCCCCAAGAATGTAACAATTATATGCTGTACTTGCTGTATGCAATGTTAAATGGGATTCTTGTACTGTTATATGTCTATTTGTACTCACTGAATTTGTGCGCCCCTTGAGGGACTTGAAGTAGAGGGGGGTAGAAATAGCCTAAGCTACTCTATCCCTTTGAGATGTATTTATTGCTTATCTCAATAAACATACTTGAACTTGAACTTGAACTTGAACTTGAGGGTGACTAATACTAGTGGCCTCGATAAGGACAGGAAGCCGGCGACTTGTCAACGATTTATTTAGCAAAATTCATTTAGCAAAGCAATTTACGGTTCTTATGAATACAAAAAAAAATATTATTATATAATAAATAGTGGTTTTTATGAATACAAAAATACTTATCTATTAAGTAACGATTGTAATTTAATCTTATGTATATTTTTATAAGTTAAATAGTATTACTATTGCTATTATTTTGTTTATAAAGCGCGACGCCTTCCGGGCCTTAAAATTTTAATCTTGCTACTCATGGTGTTTTGGTCAGGCTTATGGTACACCACACCGTGACTACCTATCGTTAACAATCACACAAAATCATATATACGGTGTGAAAACCAACTATATATCTACGTAGTAATACTTTATTAAATAAAACCAAAGTGTTGTAGGGTGTTATGAGTGAGTATGAGTGTGCGAGGCAGTAGTGAGGAGGGAGGCGTGTGTGTGAGCACCCCGGGACCAGACCTCATCAACGTCATGAACTGGTAATTTACTCCCACTTTACCATGGCTATCCTCGATGACCTGCCCGAAGAAATTCTGGAATATATCTTGTGTCTTATATCGCCCTATAATGACCTACGGTCGTGTAGACAGGTGAGAGCCTCGCGTCTGTCAACTCCTTCCCCCTTTCCTTATTTACACAAGAAATAAAATAAAATAACAATTATTAAATGTAAGTATAATTTTATGTAGAAGAAGAAGTATGACTAAAAGCACATTAGGGTCATACTTTGCATATGTTGAGTGCGGAAATAAGGAGATTAATTAGCTTGGAAAGCATGAGAGTACTGTATAAGGGCCCACAGAGCTAACAACACTGCAAGCCTGGCATGACAGGGCAGATCTCATTCAAACTTGTAAAATACTGAACAACTTTGTGGATGTTGATCCAGACAATTTCTTCAAAAGGTCAGATGTAACACAGCTAACAACAGTTTCTAGCCAAATAAGCCACAATGCACAACTGAAAGCAGGAGATGCTTTTTCACCCACGGGGTTATAAACCCGTGGAAGCATCAACCTGCTATGCCGTAAATGCCAAAACATTACTGCTGTTCAAAATTTAGTTGGAAAAAATCCTCGGGAGGGGGAGGGGGGGGGGAATATGGTATCTCTGACACGAAGCCAGCTTTCTGGCACCGTTGTGGCTGCTAGATAGATTGTAGCCCTCAAGTAAATGGTGGTAATTCAGGATAAATGCAAACAAAATCAAGGTAGCCAGTAGCTGTGTGCTTCACTGGCAGGAGAATCCAAAAACTGTCTAGGAATTTAGTCCCCTGTCACAAGAGACATTGATAACCTGGCACATACTATGTATAAAACATAATATTTTACCATTTTCATTTGATTCAGTTAGTTGGGTTAGGTCAAATGGATTTTTCGTGGGTCATGGTAAATTCCATTACATCCACAGAGAGCTATTATATCTATAGTTGCATCATACATGTGAAACCCAGACAGTAGTTGTTCAGATCGTCATAGGACAATGACCAGATTCCTCTAGCAATACTGTATTTATGACAATAACTGCATTCATCTAGTACATGTAACCATGAAATGCTAGCAGGATTTTTATCATGGGTCAAAGTAAACTCCATTACATCTACATTGAGCTAGTATATCCATATTTGCATCATGAATGTAAAACCCAGACAATAATTGTTTAAATTGTCGTATGACAATAATCGCATTACCCTCGTGAATCAACGAATTACGATAACTACTGTCTGATGGTGAAAGAAGAATGGTAATGACATAGAACGACAAAACCTTAGGCTGCTTTTAGATCCCACTCGTATTGGGCAGAAAAATTAAAGTGTTTAAGAATATTATTATCGCTGACAATTTTAGTCAGCAGTGTACTGCAGCTGTTGGGCAGACACTTCATACACAATATGGCATTGAAAAGTTACAGAATGACTCGCCCAATTACAAGTTACCCCCTAACCTGAAATTGGAGTGCTGACATTTCTTATGCTTGTTTTTATACATAAATTCTTATTTTAGAAATGCATTTATTTAAAGTTTTTTATACTGACATTATAGTATGCTTCATACACATTCTTATTGTAAGTATTTTATACTATGGATTAGGTAGAAGCAACGAATGTTGCTTCTACAATCAGATTGTTCAGTTGTAAAATGTGAGTATGAATGGTTTCTTCAGTGACCCTTAATATATTACTGTATGCATACTTATAGTATGGCAAAATTTGCAGCTAGCAATCATAAAGTTTTCCTTATTTAACTAAAAGGGGCATTGCTTAGTTATCATACAATATCTTGTGTTGTATATTCTCTGCAAGAGAAAAAAAACCTTTGATATACTGTACTGTACTTGACCATTAAAATACTTTAAGAAAAAGCACTGGTTCTTGTTTTATATATGACAGGTCATGCAGTGGTTATTCATTATGCCCGACCTGCATGTCTATGATATTTTAGGCATCCGATGGACTCGGCTGTATTATCCTGGGTCGTCGCCACCAACAGCTGGTCATTCAGCTTCACTACATGGTAGTGTTATTCATTATCTACTATGGCTCTATTGAATTAAGATACAAGAGGTCCATATTACCTTCCCACCAGGGTTGTTCACATGATCATTCTAATTTTTATAAAATGTTGAGGATTTTTCCACTTAAGTTTATTTATTTATTGCATTTTTTATTTAATTTTTTTAATTTTTATTTCATTTCATTTATTTTTTATTTTATTTTATTTTTTATTTTATTTACAAGAAGCTACAATGTGTTTGTGAGATTAAATAATATTGGCATTTTTACATTCTTGCAAGGCCACTAACACGCATAGCATTTCGGACAGGTCCTTAAACTAAACAGATCAGGTAAAATGAAAGGGTACATTGTAGCAAAAAATTTTATCAACATATAACTACAATATAAATTGGTAGAGGTGATTACAGTGGTGAAGATGTATGTCTTAAGTATTAATATTTGGGAGTTGGTAGCACAAGATTCAGTGTGAGTTTGAAGCTCACTTCTGTATTGTACATTATCTCACAACTCACTTTTGAGTTCACTTCTCAATGATTTTAAATTGGTATCAGAACATTTTCAGATGCTAAAGAATGTTTCCATATTATTTTGATACCTCAGCTCTTAATTGAATTTCAGGTGTGTCGCAGGTGGTACACCTGTTGCCAGGGTGTTGTGGAGAAGAGAAAATCTCGTTTTTTCACAGCTCTGAAGGTGGGCTGCGTAAAGTGGTATAGTCCAACATATCCAAGCCACATCATCCCAATCAGTAGGCGCTACTCCCATTCAGCATGTGTGTTTGATTCATCAATGTATGTTTTTGGAGGCTGTACCTCAACAAATACAACATTTAATGACCTCTGGCGCTTTGATTTGGGATTGCACGAATGGACACGCTTGTTGACCACTGGAACATACCCATCACCCAAAGCATATGCTTCAATGGTAACATGGAATAATTGCCTTGTGTTGTTCGGTGGGTGGACTCATCCTTCTCTGTATCCATTACATCAACAGTGGGTCTTGTTCAGTGAACTGCATGTCTATGATATTTTAGGCAACCGATGGACTCAGCTGTATTATCCTGGATCGCCGCCACCAACAGCTGGTCATTCAGCTTCAGTACATGGTAGTATTATGGTAGTATTTGGTGGATTGCAAAAACAGGAAGGAACTTCTGGAAGTACAAGTGATGTGTTCTGTTTAGACCTCATAAGACAGTGTTGGTTTAAACCTGTGGTGTCAGATCCTATGCCTAAACCAAGGTATGGGCATTCCCAGATTAAACTAGATGAGAGACATATTTTAATTCTTGCAGGATGTGGAGGATCTAATAAACTTTATAATGATATATGGTTGCTATCAATGCCAGATAATATATACAACAGAAGTGAAAAATGGCACTGGGAACAAGTTTATGTAGAAGAATCTGAGCATATGCCCTCTCAAATGTGGTATAATCCAGCATGCAAAGTTGGGAATAGTGTTGTTGTTTTGTCAACCTGTGGGAGTAATAATGCTTCAGCAGGTGGGAATATGTCTCAGCTTTTGGTGCCAGGTTCTGTAAGGAGACAGCCAGCTAATGTCTGGGTTCCCCCAATACAACAGCCAGAAATACGTCCTCATGATCATCAGCCTCTTGAACGGCATCAGTTGGAACCAAATGTTAACGGCCAACGTGGTTTTCTTCGGCCAGGAATCCATTCAGTAGAGCAAGCAGAATCTAGTAGTGATGAAAATGATGATGGAAACTTCCAGGGTGCACATAGTGGGCAAGGAACATCTGGTAGAGGGAGACCTCGACCCTCTATTAGACCAAATGCATCAAGTGATAGGGAGCGCAGACTTCAGGTATTGTCAAGAATGAAGGAGAGACTAAGAGAACTATCACGTCAACAAGAACCCAGTAGTGCAACCTCCATTAAGACTCCATCCCGTAGCACTGTTACACCTCACATGTTGGATATCAGCCGTGTTATTTCAGACAGACAGGCTAGATGGTGGTCTGTTAACCAATCTAATAGTCTCTCAACTTGTATTGGCTCTCCTCCTCAGCCATCTCTTCTTTATTCTTTAGTTCTTGGCAGAGGTCACCTAATCATGTTTGGTGGTATCCCACATGATCCTACTGGAGGTCAAAGCCAAGAAACTGTATCAAACTCTGTGATATTTGTATCTGCACCCTCTACTTCATACTTTGCTGCCTAATACCATTGAAAATATTTAGCAGCTTATTATATTTGTACATATATTTAACATTTGTTTTATTATCAGAGGATTGTTATAGTTTTGTAAATAGGATACTTCACACAAATAAAACTCAATAACATTATATTTCAATTCTTGTGTGTTTCTTTTCTGGCAATAATTGTGTGTGTATTACAGTATGTAATTGATAGCATTACTATTTGTATAAAATAAAATTCAAACCAGAAAAAATTACCAATAATGTTACATAATAAGGCACAATATTTATATTAATGAATTTTTTTAATTCTTGATTCTTTGCTTGTATTTGCAAATATTTACCATAAATCATACAAATGAATTAGAATTTTTGACAATGTACTTTTTTATTTTGCATATCTGATATGTAAGAATAATAATTTTCATGTAAAAAGTTATATTTTTTTTATTATTATTAATCCTAATTAAATAAATTATGTAGCTTCATTGTGTGGCTGTACATGTAATTACATAAAGTGTAGTTAATGTACAGTATTATAGCTTAGCTCATAGTGTTCCATCATAGTCTTTCTGGTAGAGCCCCAGTGCCTTCGTGAAGTTATCTTACCGAGATGGCTCCCCACTACTGGATCACACCAGTCGCACGAGTCCTGTTTGCCCTACCAGAGAGCAGAGCCAAAACCTGGCTCTCCTTGTGTCTCACACAGGCACAAGGCACAGGGGATTATTATTGTCACCCTCACTGTTACAAGATCATCAAGAAAATCAACAAAGCTGTACAGACAACTGCAAGGGTCATAGGAAACAAAACATTGAAACAGCCAAACAACTCTTCAAACTATTCAATCCAAACAATTGGTTCACTTGAACTCATTAGTACTAATGGCTACCACTAGGTGGTCTGAATCCCCTCATCCAACAGCTGGCTCTAAGGTCAGTCCTGTCACTGATGTTGACTGAGGTAGTATTGTGCTCCTAGGATCGCCAGCAATTGCAGTGTGTTCCACTGCTGCTTAGCCAAGTGCCAGCTATTCTTCTGGCTTCATCTTGCAAGGGCCATTTGCTTGTATCGTTTTACTTTTCTAGTAGTATTACTTATGTGTGTTTTCCTTCCTTGGCATTCTTATGTGGATTTGCCAATTTTTTTGCTTCAAGCTGCATGTGCTCAGGATGAACCTTTCATGGATGCTTGTCTAGCATTACCTCTGCACTGACAGAGGTCCTTCTCTGGTGTATTCGGGAGCTCCCTCCTCAGAAACCTGACCACAAGGGTGGGGTGCCTTGCCTTGGGTAGTGCATGAGTCATTCACTCTTTTGTGTAGGCCCTGGGCTGGTGGTTACCTATTTTGATTTTGTAGAGGGTGTGTTAGGGTACACACACATTTGTTTATATGGCATGCCATGGACACTTTATAGCCAACTGTATCCATGGTTGGCCAGTCCCATAGCCATGGGACTGTACTTAGTATTATCCCCTCTGGTAATATGAGGTTACTGGATTATATATGGTTTGCAAAGTTTGTAATATCACTTGTCATTTTATTTTCCTCGAGGTGGCCGTTGCTTGTAGGTGGTTTTTACATTGCAGCTTTGCAGTGCTAAGCTGGCTTGGATGCCTTAGTGTTGGGCCCTTATTGTTGTCAGTGTTTTGGAGTGTTGGTGATTTAGGGTTTTCTTCTGGCCCTGCGGGGTGTGTGAGCCAGGTACTGGCAGAGACTCCTGTCTGTCCTCTTCAGTGTGTGATGTGGATCCTGGTTTTTTTTACCCAAGTTCATCCTCTCTTGGTTGGAGCTGCATGGTGGAGGAGGGGCTCAAGTACTGTTTTTTTTCTTTCTCCATTGCATTTGTGGTTGGTTCTGCAGTAGCTCCTCCCCATGTGCGCTTCTGGGTGCCAGCCAATTCCCTGGATCCCCCTAATTATATTTAGCAAGATTGAAAACTGGTATCATTTGCCATTTCATTGATGGGTTGGTGGGTTGGTCCAGACCCACCTGTGACCATCCCACAAACAGCCATGAGTTACCCTGCAAAGTTTGGTAAGACTCCATCAAGCTTCTGGCCTCCAACTTTGAACAGACACGGACAGACATTCTCTTTTGTAGATACAGTATAGATATTTTATGAATTATGCAGAATGTATTTTAAATTATGAAATGCATTAATGGAAAAGGATAAATTAATGTTATTTATATTTTATTTTATACAAAAATCAATCCTCTTATAAATAGTACCTAAGGTCTAACAAGTATGGCCATAACTTTAGTCGAAGTAGTCATTGAACAGCCAAGTGTAGCAAATTACTGTATCTTTTGAATTACAGTATTAACATTTCCATATTATCACTTCGTACAATAAATTAAAAGTCAATTGCTCCAGAATTAGCACCTTATAAAGATACACAAATCAAGGTTAATAAAGAAAATTTATAGTAGAAGAGTTCCATTAGAAGTAGTGACATCTACTTTTCAAGTACAATAGAAGAGAACCAGCATGTGTCTGGCTCCTGCTGGTCCTTGTAGACTTGTCAGACGTGCAGGTGTGTGGTTAATATGTTCCACATGATCAGGGTCTGCTCGTAGTACTAATTGACTCTGTTACAAGATCATCCACTGTATTTGCTTCAGTTTCAAAAGGTGTAGCATTTGTAGGTTGAATCTCAATCGGTTCATTGGTTGAATTAACAGCTTTAAAGTTGTTTGATTGAGAAGGTTGAGGATGATTGCTGCCACAACGACAGAAGGGGCAACCAATGGTGTCAACATCCTGGGTACAATTCACAGAACAGTGGACACGTGGGCACAAGATGCCTGCGCATTTACACTGCTGGCATCTGTTACCTCCCACCAGCATCTGGCATCTCGGATCACAAGTGGTGGGCTCCAGTGGGCAAGACTTTTCCTGATTCAAGGTTGGAGTTTTAGGAGATGACAAGAGAGGTCTTCCTTTGAAACTTTCGTGTATGAATAATGGTTTGGTCAGTATAGGAGGCGTAAGGTGCTGACCTTGATCATTTCCCATAATCATGCCGAACTCATTAATAGAGTGCTGTTGAGGGCATGCACACCGACCACATCCATCCTCGAAACTTAAGAAGAGGCAATTACTTTTACAACTTTGCACACCAGGACATATATAGGCATCATCTCCACAGTAACACTGGTGACATCCATTTGCATCCATGGCTGTGCGACATCCTATTGGACAAAAAATACGCTGCTGGTTGTGACAGCGTGTAGACAGACCTTCTATATCTCCAGGGCCAGCATAAGGGTGCCTATTGAAAGGTCCTAATCTAGGGTGATACCTCTCAAAATATTCTGTTTCAAAAGGTAAATCATAATCAAAAAATTCAGGGCCCATTGGCCTAGATCCAAATGAATTCAGTGGAAATGAACCCCTGAAAAAAGGTTTAAAAGGACCATTTGGAACTATTGTACAGTTACAATAGAAGCAGCTGCTGTTTTCATGCAAACTTATACATCTGCGGAGACATGTGGGCATTGATGGACATACTGCAGTTTTCTCGCAGTTACAGCGGTGGCAGCCATCGCCACCGACCTCCACTGTACACTCTTGAGGGCAGCTGATGGTAGGACATGAACGTTCATCAGTGCTGCATACACACTCAGGACAGTCACTTCTGCTGGTGAGCTGTTGGCATTTCTTGGGGCACAAGGACAGGGAGGGACACCCCACAGAATAATGTTGAGGACATGCACACTTTCTACAACCATTAAAGTCAAATTCAATGTTGCACTTAGGTGGACAGTTCACTGGTTCATTGGGGCAGTCAGCGAGTGCAATATCACCGCAGATACAGACTGGACAGGAGCCATCTGACCGTTGTACCTCTTGGCATGGTAATGGGCATTCACGACAGTCTGCAAGAATCACAAAATATATTAGTTCCTGATACGTGCACTATTTACCATAATCACTGAATGGGGATTTATTTATTTTAACTTACATTGTAAGGACTTGAAGTATTAAAAATAAATGTAGCAAATATACAAAGATCTGAATAACATCTGATATAAATACTGGTACTGTACATGCAAAATCATTCCAATGAGCATAATATGTAATCTGGTGAACACTATGAAGATGCATCACCATAACATTAATTAAGAGTAGAGGATATAAGCTTAGGGATATTTGTTTCAGGGTCAATTCAACATGACTGCAGTGCAATAGGTCAACATGATCACACTGCAATAGTTCAAGAGGTAGTACAGTAGAGACAAAGATGAAAGACGAGTGGAGATAGTAGGGATGTACTGACATGGAGATAGACAAATTGAAAGGCAATTTCAGAAATAAAAGGCTGTGGGAAAAAGAAGATACATGGATTAGTAATGATCATAGAGGAACTGAAAGAGGAATTGAGTAGGAGCAGCAAACTATTACAGAAATTAGGGCTGAAGGAGATAAATTGAAATTAGAGAAGCAAGGCAAGGAAGCGAGTAGTAACGACCTCAGAAAAAGTAAAGGTAGTACAGTAGTAGAATAATGTAAAAAGTGTACAGGATGCAACTAGAGAAGCAGAAGATTAAAAAAGTGGAAGATGTGATGGAAAAATTAGGTCAAAAGCCAACAAGGTCCTTTGCAAAAATAGCCAAAAGGTCAGAGGAAAAGGAAATAAAAGAAGCTACAGTGATAGAGGCTGTCAGGTCAAAGCTGGTAGTGAACTGCAATAAACAAGAAATGGGAAGAAGACGATCAGTTATAAACTATCTGACAGAACCAGAGGAAACTGCATGGCAGGAAAGAAGAAATGGAGACTGGGGAAAATAAAGGAATCCTAAACAAAGAGCAGGCAAGTAATGCAACCCAAGAAATACATTTTTTTTGTAGGATACAAAGGCTCCAACATGTACGCCAGAGAACAGTGAAGATTAATTACCTTCCGAGTAAGTCTTCCAGTGGCATATACTGACAGAGGAGAGACGATTAAAGAATGGGGAAGATACAGTCGAGTGTTCATTGACCGGGACATGAGTAAGGAAGAAGAGAAATAGAGTTGAAAACTGAAGAGAACGGAAAGGACGGGAAATAAAGTTGAGAACGAGAAGACCAGGGCAGGAGAAAAATAAGTCAGGCACAGCAAGAAATTGGGCCTAATCACACTGGCGAGGAAAGAGACCAAAGGAACAAACTTGTGTAACTAGACTAACACACAAATGCCACCCTCCAGAATTGCCCGGCCACTTAGACTGGACGGAACAGCGACAGCCTCGCTTCTTGCACGTCGTAATCGATTCACGACCATCCAAGTGGTTGGACATCATTCTTTTCCTCTGCCCTATTGATCAAATTCAGGTATAGGAAAAGATCACCCCTTTGTGTGGTCATAATATTCTATGATGGATTACAATAATAGAAACCACATAAAGGTCCAAGATGATGACTTTCTAGATCACCCTCAAGGAGACTATAACGAAATGGCAAAAGAATTGCAAAACACCTCCTGAAGGGAGCTAATAGGTGATCATGGCATGGAAGCATCATGGAAAAATTTCAAAAAGGTCGTCAATGAACTCATTAAAAAATATGTGCCAAAAAAGAAAAAGAGAGGGCAGAAGGAGGGAGAAAGGGATGTTAGAAGAAAGGGAAGGAGATAGGTGGAGAGAGGGGAAGAGGGCAGGTGAGAGAGAAGGTTATCTTGAGATTATCTTGAGATGATTTCGGGGCTTTTAGTGTCCCCACGGCCCGGTTCTCGACCAGGCCTCCACCCCCAGGAAGCAGCCCGTGACAGCGGGTGGAGAGGAACGAAAAATTTGAGAGAAGAGTGGACAGAGAAAGATGGAGAGGATGGGGGAGGAAAGGAGAGGAGAGGGGAGAAAGTTGGAGATGTGGTAAGAGATGGGAAGAGAGAGAGAGAGGGGATAGGGGAATAAAGATGAGAGAGACCCGGGAACATCAGGGTATCCCCTACCCCTAGTAGGGTTATAAGCCCATAGAACTGCTTACTCGTCGAAGCCATAAACGTAAAACACTTCTGGAGTTCATAACCTAATTGGATAAAATCAGGACAAATGGGGAGATCTTTGAAAAGACGCCGGCTTCCTGTCTTCGTCGAGGCCACTAGAGAGATGGTGGCTCTCGGATAAATTAGTTAATCGTATCTCAAACAACAGTTTTTTTTATAATTAATTTGGTTTTTGAAACGTCCTTAAAACGTTTAAAGTAGCAATTTTTTATCAGAAACTAATTATCATGTTCAATGTTTATTTATTGGATCAAAACTAATATTTCACTCAGTTCATTGATGTTTTGATTATGTGGCACATTCCTTCACACGGCGAGTATACATTTTAGATAATAAAATGAACGTAAAACATTGCAGTAAAGCTGGAAAGTTGAATAGGAAAACAGCGCATGACCTTGTGGCCTGAATAGTCGGTCATTGATCCTGACCGGGAAGCCCCAGACGGAACGCTGCCCCATCTACACCCGGTGCAGGAACTGTACCATCACCGGGTACACGTGCCCCCCATCCCTGGGTACGAGTACCGTTCAGTGCAGGTACCATGACCGGATAGCATTTTATTAGCACCAAGCAATAGCTCTATTTCCGATTGTGAGTGAACAGTACACAAGTTGTAATTACAACCCAAAGAGAAACACGCGTGTAGAGACACGAAGTCACTTGCTATTGCAGTGAAGCTTGGAACATTGTGTAGATTATTGTGGGAAAAAGAGACAGCTAGGCTGCAACACCTACACGCGCTGCCGTGACGTCCTTATGCAGTCACTACCCGCATGACGAGGGTACCGTAACTGTCTTATTGATCCGTAAACCTGTTGGAACCGCGTAATGTTTCAAGTTCTTTATTGAAACTCGAAATTGTTCATGAGCTCATATTTATTGTGCACCCCATACTCATCCTGTGAGCGGTAGTTTATTGTGCACCCCATACTCATCCTGTGAGCGGTAGTTTATTGTGCACCCCATACTCGTCCTGTGAGCGGTAGTTTATTGTGCACCCCATACTCATCCTGTGAGCGGTAGTTTATTATGCACCCCATACTCATCCTGTGAGCGGTAGTTTATTGTGCACCCCATACTCATCCTGCGAGCGGTAGTTTATTATGCACCCCATACTCATCCTGTGAGCGGTAGTTTATTGTGCACCCCATACTCATCCTGAGCGGTAGTTTATTGTGCACCCCATACTCATCCTGAGCGGTAGTTTATTGTGCACCCCATACTCATCCTATGAGCGGTAGTTTATTGTGCACCCCATACTTATCATGTGGACCACGGTTTAAGTCCGAGCGGGAAACCATTACAAGCTGGTATATTAACGCTTTACACAGGATTGAATCGTTTACGGGCTATTCATGCCCGTGCCATCTTTTGGGCGGCTTAATCTTTATCAATTCATCAATCGATTGAATCGCAACATTTACAAACTTGCAGACGATACAGAAATAGGGCAGGAAATAAATTTTGACGAAAACACATATATCGCTACAAGACGATCTAGATAATCTTTAAAAATGGGCAAACAATTAGCAGATGCAGATTAATAGGCCTATTGGCCTATACGAGGTAGCTCCTAGTTATATCCACCTAACGTGCACTTGAAACGATCCAGCGATCTCCCGTCCATTAGGCTATCCAGTATATTGTTCCACAGATAAACAATTTTTGTTTCAAAACCAGTATTTACCCAGGTTTCTCCATTATCAAAATGTCTTCAATCCTTTGTTTCGAGTTCTATTTTGTCTTACATACTTAAAACCTTGATTTTATTAATTTTGCTTTACCCTTTTATCCATATATACTTCAGTCATGTCACCCTTTTTTAATCTCTTGATAAGGAAGATTTCTAGTTGCTATAACGTTTCTAGGAATAAATGCAGGTAGCCTATTTATTTTATTTTGTGTGTTTATGTATTGATTTTCTGGCTTCAGATCTCAACTAGTTATGACTTCAAGATCAACAAGTCATGACTTCAAGATCAACAAGTCATGACTTCAAGATCAACAAGTCATGACTTCAAGATCAACAAGTCATGACTTCTCGTACTCGGACTTTTCAATAAGAACATTGTCCAACTGGTATCTGGTAGCTATTATTATTACCTAAGCTCAGAACCCTATAATTTGTCAGCATTGCATTACATTTTCCAATCTTTTGACCATTTTGAAAGTGGTCAGGTCGAAAATACCACTTTTACTAGAAAAATACTAGATCGTGTCGCAGCGAAGGTTCATATACACACCAAAAGCTGACTTACTAAATATGGAGCGGCTCGACAAATTGACGGGAAGTCCCGTTTTCTGTTCGTCGGTCCCTGGATTAGTTAGGTTCGGGCACTTTAGTACGGCAGTTTAGTGACGTTGGGGGACACTTACTGCATAAATAAGAGCTGCCCTGTATAGGCCAACATGCCTTCTGTAGTTTCCTTTATTTTTAGGGTATTTGCATTAACCTTTACATCATTTTCCATCTTGGATATTACTGGTCTCAGAAGTATTGCTGTTCACAGGTAGTTACTATGCCACACAGTTTAGGCTGCATGTGCAGCTTACAAATTAATTTCAAACATATTTTCTTGTATATACTAGCAGAGCAGAGAACAAATATTTAGAAGAAATATATTTGGTTGTGCAGAAATATATATACACTGGTTATATTACACGGTGTTAGGTATCAGTTAAGTCTAAAATATTATTTTCCTCGTGTTGGTCCCTTAATATGCTGCTCAAGGAAGCAATGATCAACTAATTCTACAAAATCTGCTTCGGAATTCCTTGCACATTTGGTTAATATCCTACTGGAAACTCTATGCGTGTTAGTGGCTATGTAATAATGTAAGATCATCAATGTTATTTATACTCTCACAACCCTATTTACCTTCAAGTATATATATAAATAAAATAAAAAATAAAATAATAAAATCCAAGTTATTCCAATACAATTAAAGTCACCCATAACACAAGCACTGTCTGACCTATGCTTAAGATATTTCACACCATACATGCTTTGCTTCCATTCTGTCGAAGTTTCTTGGTCTGTATATAACTCCTATTATTATTATTTTCATTCACTTGCAACTAAATAGTTTATGAATGTGGCTCACACACATTTCTAAAAAAAAATGAGACAGCACGAATTTTTCGTAATTTATCATTAATTGATGTTCCATTTCATGCAAAGATAGTTTACATTTGCCACTAAACGGCTCACTGTTCCGGCCAAAATGATAGTACCTACAGCTACTGTGGTTGGAACATACACATGTGGACTGTTGCGCCGAAACAAAAGTCAATTCAAAATTCAATTCAAAAGTCAATTCAAAAGTCAAAATGTCTGTTATTTTCTTTTTTTTTTTAATCAACACTGTTTGTCAACCTATTGTATTTGTGCTGCTTTTTCAGTCATGTTCCCCCTTTTTTTTATCTTTATTTGTATTTGTTCTCAACACCTTTTAATCTTTATGCTCAATTAGTATTAAGTTCTAGATATTAATGTTTTTCTTGCCCGAAACGCATTGCGTAATAGTGGCTTTAGGCATTGTATGTACTAGCTCTATCTATATATCAATCCATTAATGTAACATCACTTGTATGTATATACCTTACCTGAATAAACATCTGAATCTGAATCAACGTTTTATACTATGGACTCACTCACCTGAACGTTGCCTTAGTCGAGAGGCCGCCGCCACACTGAGTGTCAGCAGCAGCACGGGGAACAGCCTGGCCACACACATCTCTCCTCCACGGTTACGGGTCGACTGGCTGGCGTACCTGCTGGTCTGCTCCAACTACGTCTGCCGCAGCAACCGACAGTACCAGAAATCGTCACCTTCAGCTCCACCCTCGACACTGTTACTGTTGCCATTGCCTTGCTTTTGAATTCAGGTCCATGATCTGTACCAAGAGAGACAACAACGGTACTTGCATGAACCCTGGGAGATCACCTACTTCCAAATTACTATCCATCCTACTCAAGAAGATGACTAAGAATCAACACATGCTTCGACTTGAAGCAAAATGCAATGCCTTAAGCTAGATTGTTGCTCAGGTCATTAGGGCTCTCTCCCTCAAACTATTTATACGGAAACTCAGTTTCAGAAAATCTCTAGACCAAGGAATAGTTACCCCTAGATTGGAAATACGCAAATGTCACCCCTATTTTAAAAAAGGCAGAAAAAAGCTCATCAAAAAAACTACCGGCCCATCAGCTTGACATTTTTTTAAATTTTAAATTTTGCCCCGAGGTGCGAGTTTATTGGGCAGCGCCACTAATCTTGTGAGTGGTCATACCGCCATAGCAGCATGTACTACACTCCCCAATAGGAAGAAATCCCGCCGGGTTGTTCATCCTGTCACTTGTACCCAGACACAGCTGGGACTTGCTTAACTGTCTCAAGTGAACAGCTCCTCAAACAAGAAGATTAACATCTGTCAACCCTTAAAAGCTTACGTTATCTTGCGGCTGCAAAACGCGGGAATCTTTTAAGAACAGTATCAATATTTGACAAATAGTGTTTTCCTAACTCAAACAATGTGGGGTTTATTATTCTACACATATTTCTAATGTCTCTCAGGTGTTCATATTCACGTAAATAGTGGTCAAGGCGGTGTCCATCACTCTCACCACAGATTCTGCAACTCCTCTGATCAACTGTTGTTTCCATTCCGAATCTCCATGGATATTTGTATCCAAGACGGATTCTCGCTATTACTGATTCTCTCCCGCGTCCTCCTCCTCTTCGTCTATAATGTTTTGGATTGCCAGCTGCAACCATGTTGTACCATCGTACAGATTCTATGGTTTGTTCTATCCTCCTTTCCTCAGTTACCTTGTCACGGTGATGTTACCTGACAATACCTCTAATTTGTAGTAGAGTCTTGGGTATGAAGTATTCAATATGGTCTCCTTCAGCGCCTTCAGCAGCCAGCAGATCTGCTTGTTCAGTTCCACATATTCCAACATGGGAGGGGAGCCCCAACATGGGAGGGGACCCACACAAACTTGACGACTCTTTCCTGGTTCATTAGTACCCTCACAGCTCTCTTAATTTCAGCGACTACCGCAAGATTTTCTGCCCGTTTTTACTTAGGTTTTGCAGTGCTGCTTTTGAATCAGTGCAAATCACTGCACCATTAGTGTTTCGTTCAAGGAATCTTAACGCCATAACAATGGCAGTTAGCTCCGCTTGCGTTGAAAAGGTAAAGTTCTCAATACGCGCTTTTTCTTCATTTCTGCGTTGAAAAGCATTATCCTTAATTACAGTGTATGCTGCACCAGCCCTGCCATTAACAGGATTAGATGACCCATCAGTGTAGATTTGATCTAGTTTATTTCCGATTTATTTATAAATTTCCTCGAGATACTTGTGCCTCATTTCTTGTAGTATCATGTTGGATTTTTTCGTTGCCATTTCATTGATGATAATCCTGCATGAGTCATCCTCCCAGGGAAGTAACCTCTCTACAGGCAGGAGCTCACGGGCTTGCTCAAGCAGGTGAAGTTCTTCGAGGTAGCAGACTGATCTGTGATACCATATTTGCTTCTCCTCTTTCCTCTTGTTAGCAGCACAGAACTCAGTGTTTTCCTGGCAGTATCCTTGTAATAGGGATCTCTGGCTATCCTAATTGCAAGCTTAGCATTCAATTCCTTAATTCTGCTTTTAACACTGGGCAGGGACAGCTCCTCTTGTAGATTAGACGATTTGGCATTTCTTGAACTCCAAGAATGATTGTCATGGCTTCATTTTGTAAAACCGTGAAGAGTGAAGAGTGAAACCGAGCTCAACACATTTCCTTCCAAGGAGTTCAATGACTGTTAAATTTTTCCGAAGGTTGTGACTTGTATTAGAACATCATCTGTATACCCCACTTGTTGCGTCCCTTCCGGAAAATCAATATTTGCAATGGCGATTATAAGTACATTGAATAGTGTGGGTCTTAAGACCCCTCCTTGGGGGGTACCGAATTCCATATTCATTGTTCTTGAGACTGCTCCATTGAAGCAGACCTTGGCTTTCCTCCCTGTGAGGTAGTCTTCAACCCATTTCAAGAGTCTCCCCTTGACACCCATGCATGCAAGCTCGTCCAGGATCGCAATCCCCTGTGCTTTGTCGAAGGCTCCTTTGATGTCAACAAATATAGAGTACCTAGTATCTGCAGGAATACTGTTTTGAATTTTGGCATATTTACTAGTGTGCTCTTCCTTGCTAACAGCTCCTCTTTTGTGTTCTCGCTCATGAATTCCACCTATATCAGTCGGTCTCTGTCTGTCCTCTGTCCAGACCTGAAAACCTTTTCAATGTTCTTGTCTGCCCTCTCCATCTTTACCCCTTTAAGGATATCTTTAACTGCATTTTTATCCTTGTCTCTCCACTCCAGTGGACTGGTCCTTGTTTGTTTCCTAATTTCTACTATGACTACTGCTCTTTTTTGTTTTATCAGCCGGCTAGTACATCTAGCTGCTTCCTGAGAAGAAGCCACTTTCATGGCAACTTCCCTAACTGCAGCAATAGCTTCAGGGTTCTTTTTAAACAAATAAATTACTGATTGATTTCAATACAATGGGGGGGGTATTGACCATCAATACCCCCCTTTTGGTGGAGAGGGGGTATTGATGGTCAAGAGGGCCCCTTGTCCCATATGGTGTCAACAACTTCCACCCAGGAAGAGCTGGTGTGTGTGTGTGTGTGTGTGTGTGTGTGTGTGTGTGTGTGTGTGTGTGTGTGTGTGTGTGTGTGTGTGTGTGTGTGTGTGTGTGTGTGTGTGTGTGTGTGTGTGTGTGTGTGTGTGTGTGTGTGTGTGTACTCACCTAATTGTACTCACCTAATTGTGCTTGCGGGGGTTGAGCTCTGGCTCTTTGGTCCCGCCTCTCAACCGTCAATCAACTGGTGTACAGATTCCTGAGCCTATTGGGCTCTATCATATCTACATTTGAAACTGTGTATGGAGTCAGCCTCCACCACATCACTTCCTAATGCATTCCATTTACTAACTACTCTGACACTGAAAAAGTTCTTTCTAACGTCTCTGTGGCTCATTTGGGTACTCAGCTTCCACCTGTGTCCCCTTGTTCGCGTCCCACCAGTGTTGAATAGTTCATCCTTGTTTACCCGGTCGATTCCCCTGAGGATTTTGTAGGTTGTGATCATGTCCCCCCTTACTCTTCTGTCTTCCAGTGTCGTGAGGTGCATTTCCCGCAGCCTTTCCTCATAACTCATGCCTCTTAGTTCTGGGACTAGTCTAGTAGCATACCTTTGGACTTTTTCCAGCTTCGTCTTGTGCTTGACAAGGTACGGGCTCCATGCTGGGGCCGCATACTCCAGGATTGGTCTTACATATGTGGTGTACAAGATTCTGAATGATTCCTTACACAGGTTCCTGAACGCCGTTCTGATGTTAGCCAGCCTCGCATATGCCGCAGACGTTATTCTCTTTATGTGGGCTTCAGGAGACAGGTTTGGTGTGATATCAACTCCTAGATCTTTCTCTCTGTCTGTTTCATTAAGTACTTCATCTCCTATTCTGTATCCTGTGCCTGGCCTCCTGTTTCCACTTCCTAGTTTCATTACTTTGCATTTACTCGGGTTGAACTTCAACAGCCATTTGTTGTGTGTGTGTGTGTGTGTGTGTGTGTGTGTGTGTGTGTGTGTGTGTGTGTGTGTGTGTGTGTGTGTGTGTGTGTGTGTGTGTGTGTGTGTGTGTGTGTGTGTGTGTGTGTGTGTGTGTGTGTGTGTGTGTGTGTGTGTGTGTGTGTGTGTGTGTGTGTGTGTGTGTGTGTGTGTGTGTGTGTGTGTGCATTTTGGAGGGGGGGGAGGTAGTAGGGTACCTCCCACCTAGGTGTCAACTTCCTACCTCTGAGCCGCGGGGAACCTATAGTTTGATGTGAACCTCTATACCCTGATTTTTCCCGAACTATATTATATTCTAGATCAATATTTAAAATCAATTTGCACACCTTATTGATGGCCTAAAGAGAGAGAGAGGGTACTCACCGCCACCACCCCCAGCCAAGCACAACTTAGGTGAGTACATATCGGGGTTCGGTCGACTGCTCACAGGGTTGTTCTTCCTGAGTGGTCCAATGTTGCTCTCCTCACTGGTGCCACTCCCTAGTGGCCCGTGTGAGGAGATGAGTGACCTTCAGCTTCAGTACTGGAGTAACAAACTGTGAGTGATGTGTCGTGAGGGGGTAATTAGTGGTTATATATACATTGCTATGTACCATATCCACGTGTGTCTCACTGCAGAGGTATTCCAGTAATCCGGCAGGTCAGACGTAATTAAAGAGATTATATGTGCGATACCTAGCCTGTAATTTATTGTGATTTATTTCTGATTACTGTGATGTGTTAGGGTAGTGTGTAGGATCACTGTCTTAATGTCAAATTCACATTCAAATGTTTATTCAGGTAAAAGTACATACATACAGAACCATGGGTTCTGACATACATACAAGATGAGTTACAAACATAGTGTTGGATTTATAGATAGAGCTAGTACATACAATACCTAAAGCCACTAATATGCACAGCGTTTCGGGCAAGGTGCAAGGGCAAGGGCGCCTGACAGCTGAGTGGACAACGCTTCGGATTCGTAGTTCTGAGGTTCCGGGTTCGATCCCCTCTCTTTCACTCTGATGTCCTGCTCACCTAGCAGTAAATAGGTACCTGGGAGTTAGACAGCTGCTACGGGCTGCTTCCTGAGGGTGTGTAACAAAAAGGAGGCCTGGTCGAGGACCGGGCCGCGGGGACGCTAAGCCCTGAAATCATCTCAAGATAACCTCAAGATAGATAAGGTGTGGGGAAAAACCCCACTTAAACTAAAACTTAATACTAATTGAGATTAAAGTATAAATTGTGTTGAAAAAAAGAAAAAAAATGGGGGGGGGACATGACAGAAATCAGCTATTATACAAGTTGGTCAACAAAAAGTATTGTTTGAAAATAGCAAGACATAGGTTGACATTTAGGGGGTAGGGTAGGTTACATGGAGTTTATTAGGTGGTGCATAGGTTTTCTCTGAAACTGATTGAGAGAGGTACAGCCTTTGACATGATTAGGAAGGTCATTCCACATTCTGGATCCCTTGATTTGTAGAGCATTTCTAGTTTGGTTAAATCGTACTCTTGGAATATCAAATAGGTATTTGTTTCTGATGTGGTGCCCATGAGTTCTGTTACAACCTTCTAGGAAGCGTTTACGGTCAGGATTGGCAGTACAGCTCAGAGTTTTAAATATATAGAGTACACATGAGAGGATGTGCAGTGACTTAGTAATATCTAACATATTCAAAGATTTAAGTAAGGGTACCGAGTGCTGTCTGGGACCAGAGTTAGTTATTGTTCTAATAGCAGCTTTGTGTTGGGTAATTAGAGGACGTAGATGATTTTGGGTAGTAGAGCCCCAAGCACAAATACCATTGTTGAGATAAGGATAGATGAGAGAGTAATAGAGCGTCACCAGGGCAGGGCGAGGTACATAATATCTGATCTTAGAAAGAATGCCAACAGTTTTAGAAACTTTTTTTGATATATTTAGAATGTGTCCCTGGAAATTCAGCTTGTTATCGATGAGGGCAGCAATGAATTTACCATCTACTTTGTTACTAATTTGGATATTGTTTATTCTTAGAATAATTTGATCTGAGGATTTATTACCAAACAAAATATAAAAAGTTTTGTCAATGTTAAGAGTGAGTTTGTTAGCAGTAAGCCAAAGATGAACTTTATTTAGTTCAGTCTTTACTGTAACATTCAGAGCAAGAGGGTCAGGACTGGAGAAATTGAAGGTTGTGTCAGCAGCAAATAAAATAGGTTTGAGGTGTTGGGAGGCATTTGGAAGGTCATTAATGTAGATGAGAAAGAGGAGAGGGCCAAGTATGCTCCCCTGAGGAACACCAGTGTTGAAGGGTAGGGTGGGAGATTTATGATTGGAGAGTGTGATGGGGGGAGGGGGATCACGGTCGACCCCCATGACCCGCCTTAAATAGGATTCGCTCCTATTGTGACAACCAATGACTCCAATGAGGACTGAAATTAGGAATTTGGATTCCATAGAGTTTTTAACATATTCAACTGCTCATCACAACGTTATATCAAAATAACTATAATAAAAATGATGTTGTGGTTACATTTGGTGGACGCTTAATTATATTGCATCTTCTGAGAGAGTGTGGAAAGGAGGGAGGCAAAGAGAATGAGATGGAGAGAGACCAGAAGAGAGAGAGGGAGAATGAAAGGGAGAGAGATTGGTAGGGGAGGCAGAGAGATAATTGGAGGAATACAGAGAATAAGGAGAGAAAATGGGAAAGAGGGAGGAAGGGATAGAGAGAGATAGACAGATAACCCATAGACCGGTTTCTATTTGGGTCATCCAATGTCAGCAGACTTTTATACGTTACTACTGCCAGACTTAAACTAGGCTACAATTAGTAGCTCTGAGAGTTTACTCTGCTGCAGTTGATCTGACCAAGTGTAAACTCTCTCAGCAGAACTATTCACATTCCTGACGTCACTATGTGCTGTGCACATAATGCCACAATGTGCTGTGCAAAACCGAAGACTTTAGATTGTAATTTTCTTACAAATTTTCAAGAAATGTTTATTTCACTCAAAATGATATATTGTCAGAATTTTTGGCCAAGTACTAATAATAATAATTAATAATTCATTTTGTCGGGGACAGGCAGCCTATGTTCATATATATGGTATATCTTGAGGTTATCTTGAGATGATTTCGGGGCTTTAGTGTCCCCGCGGCCCGGTCCTCGACCAGGCCTCCACCCCCAGGAAGCAGCCCGTGACAGCTGACTAACACCCAGGTACCTATTTTACTGCTAGGTAACAGGGCATAGGGTGAAAGAAACTATGCCCATTGTTTCTCGCCGGCGCCTGGGATCGAACCCAGGCCCACAGGATCACAAGTCCAGGGTGCTGTCCGGCCGGTCGACCGGCTCCTGGTAGGTTTATATCGAGGTACTCCCAAGGTCAAACTACTGACCTTGATCAGGTTGCGGCTCTACGACTCTTGCCTCACCAGATGGCACCGCTCCTTGTGCCGGGTAAGTCCACTACGGGCTGGCTCACCATAGCCCGCGCTACTCCTTCTTTTTGTTACACACCCCCAGGAGCTGTCTAACTCACAGGTACCTATTTACTGCTAGGTGAACAGGGGCATTAGGGTGAAAGAAACATTTTGCCCATTTGTCTCCGCCTACACCGGGGATAGAACCCGGAACCTCAGGACTACGAATCCGAAGCGCTGTCCAACCAGCTGTGAGGCGCCTTCTGGGAGGGGGGGGGGCTGCAAGAGAAGTAACCAAAATGATGTGTAACTATCAGCTTATCAAGACTAATTCGATAAACTGAATTAATAATGGCGTTTTGTTATACATCCCATAAACCAGGGTAAACTCCCTGGTTTATGGCTTTACCCCTGACTTTACTTCCAGAGCCAGGGGTAAACCGCTGCGACTCACAAGGTGGGTATAGGGGGCATAATAAGTGAAGTAAATAATAAGATAACTAATTCAAATAAATACTGAAATTACCTCGCTTCTGTAACTTTTCCAGCAGCGATAATAAAACAGATCCTGCATGATGCATGATAAACAACAGTAACCCCACTACTGCCGCACCCATGGGGCCTCCAGGTCGCCGACACTACCGTTAGGGGGCCCCACACCACCGTCAGGGGCCCCACACCACCGTCAGGGCCCCCACACCACCGTCAGGGGCCCCACACCACCGTCAGGGGCCCCACACCACCGTCAGGGGCCCCACACCACCGTCAGGGGCCCCACACCACCGCCAGGGGCCCCACACCACCGTCAGGGGCCCCACACCACCGTCAGGAGCCCCACATCACCGTCAGGGGCCCCACACCACCGTCAGGGGCCCCACACCACTGTCAGGGCCCCCCACACCACCGTCAGGGGCCCCCACACCACCGTCAGGGGCCCCCACACCGCCGTCAGGGGCCCCACACCACCGTTAGGGCCCCCACACCACCGTCAGGGGCCCCCACACCACCGTCAGGGGCCCCCACACCACCGTCAGGGCCCCCACACCACCGTCAGGGGCCCAACACCACCGTCAGGGGCCCCCACACCACCGTCAGGGGCCCCACACCACCGTTAGGGCCCCCCACACCACCGTCAGGGGCCCCCACACCACCGTCAGGGGCCCCCACACCACCGGCAGGGCCCCCACACCACCGTCAGGGCCCCCACACCACCGTCAGGGGCCCAACACCACCGTCAGGGGCCCAACACCACCGTCAGGGGCCCCCACACCGCCGTCAGGGGCCCCACACCACCGTCAGGGGCCCCCACACCACCGTCAGGGGCCCCCACACCACCGTCAGGGGCCCCCATACCACCGTCAGGGGCCCCCACACCACCGGCAGGGCCCCCACACCACCGTCAGGGCCCCCACACCACCGTCAGGGGCCCAACCACCAGGGTCAGGGGTCCCACACACCGTCACCGTCAGGGGCCCCCACACCGCCGTCAGGGCCCCACACCACCGTCCCCACACCACCGTCAGGGGCCCCACACCACCGTCAGGGGCCCAACACCACCGTAGGGCCCCCACACCACCGTCAGGATCCCCACACCACCGGGTCAGGGTCAGGAGCCCCACACACCACCGTCAGGGGCCCCACACCACCGTCAGGGCCCCCACACACCGTCAGGGGCCCACCGTCAGGGTCCCCACACCACCGTCAGGAGCCCCACAAGGGGCCCCCACACCACCGTCAGGGGCCCCCACACCACCGTCAGGGCCCCCACACCACCGTCAGGGCCCCCACACCACCGTCAGTCAGGGCCCCACACCACCGTCACCCCACACCACCGTCAGGGGCCCCACACACCACCGTCAGGGGCCCCACACCGTCACCACCGTCAGGGGCCCCCACACCACCGGCAGGGCCCCCCACACCACCGTCAGGGCCCCACCACACCACCGTCAGGGGCCCAACACCACCGTCAGGGGCCCACACCACCGTCAGGGGCCCCCACACCACCGTCAGGGGCCCCCACACCACCGTCAGGGGCCCCACACCACCGTCAGGGGCCCCACACCACCGTCAGGGGCCCCACACCACCGTCAGGGGCCCCACACCGCCGTCAGGGGCCCCACACACATCACCGGCCACATATGTGGATCCGGTGAAAGTAGGAAAGACTTGTCCACGGATGGGGCCAGAGTGCCGGAGGAGAGGTGAAAACTCTGGAATACCAAGAGGTAATACAAAGAGATGAATATAGATGAATTGGGAAAACCGCGGGAAATAGTCCAGAGAAAACACCTAAGCTAGTAATGATGGAGTATTCAATGCTTTCCCCCACAGCAATATTATAGTCATGATCACCTCTACCCACAGCAACACTGCAGTCATCACCACCTCTACCCACGGCTACATTACAGCCGTGACTACTACCACCAGAGCCCATCCTCAGAGCAAATCCATGAGCTCCCCTTCCCACTATCACCCCACCCCTCAAACTAGCTGGATAGTTATCTAGTTATTTGTTATGATCTGAAAGCATATTGTGGTTCCAGTAATAGTCTACATGTAAACTTGCAAGTGAACCTTTGTCCTGAACAGATGTTATTATCAAGTTATAGCTTTATTGTATTATAAATCATTTGTTTAACGTATAACAAGTTCATGCTGAAAACATTTTCTTTAAAAAGTTTGTAAACTAAATTCTCTGGTACATTGAAATAGGTTTGGAATTCTATATTTTACATTATCGTTAATAATACACCATATTAATATATCCAGTCATAGTGAAACTAACCTAACTTAACCATACCTTAACCATGGATAGAGAGCAGATAATAACACTAATGGTGTAGGCGTTCTCAATCCATTCCCGTGAATGAATTTCCTTAGAACAGGTTGCATAAAACACAAAAGTAAAATAATACAATAACATTTAATAACCAACATTTAAATAAAATAAATTGTGGATTCTGTGCAGGCGATGAGTCACAATAACGTGGCTAAAGTATGTTGACCAGACCACACACTAGATGGTGAAGGGACGACGACGTTTCGGTCCGTCCTGGACCATTCTCAAGTCGATTGTCTCAAGTGGATTCTGGCAACACTCGGGACTGTATCAAGCCGTGTGGGAACTCTGCCGGATACACTGGCTCCTGTTGCAACCCGTTCTCGCACTTTGTTAAAGTCAATATTGACTTATTAAATAAGTGCATATGTGACATACTAATTTATTGTGAATATTTTAGTTTACCTTGAAAAGCTTCATAGAAAACACCGACCTTACCTAACCTTCTTAGTATCTTAATTAAGATAAGCATCTTATTGCTTCGTAATTACAGTCATTACTTAACCTATACCTATAATAGGTTAAGTAATAATTGTAATTACGAAGCAATAAGATGCTTATCCTAACATACTAAGAAGGTTAGGTAAGGTCGGTGTTTACTATGACTCTTTTCAAGGTAAACTTATTTCGTATTCCAAACATTGTTTAGCTAGACGTACCGTCCACTCTAGCTTTTGGTGGAAATTCAATTGGCATATTGTAGGGAACAACAGCCTCTTCCTTCTATTAAATTGCTTGTCTTGAGTCTTGTTGAGTAGGGTCTCATTCTTTGGTCTCTTTGTAATTTCATCGTCACTCTCACTGTCTGTTATTATTTCTCCGTTTCTTTCTGTTAGCATTCCCTACAATAGCCAATCACTAGGAAGGTATTTGCTAAAAGCCCCGCCTCCTTCTTGACGTCATCAGGAGCATTCAGTACACCGATCTAGCTTATGGCTTTCTGTTTCATCTCTTGTACAGTATATCCAAAATATGTATTTTTCGATTACTATGATAATTAAAAAGAGCTCATAGTGGATTTGTAATAGTTTTATGGCAAGGGTGTTATACCATTTTTCTAAATATCTTTTGATATGGGTGTTGACCTCTCCATTCATGTACCTGTTTATTAATACTTGAAGATTTCTCTCCAGTTTCGTGTGGATTTTATACCAGTCAGAACAATGAGTGAGTGTTCTGCGTATAAATGCGTTTATTACACTAGTCTTATATCTGTCCGGGCATTCGGATTCACAATTCATACACATTCCAATGTTGGTGGGTTTAGTATAAACTTCTGCGGGCGAAGGTGTTGTCTATGGTTCTCACGCAGATATCGAGAAAAGGGAGTACACAATCGATGCTTAGTTCATGGGTTTAGTTAAGCACTGAGTTTCGGATAAGTAGATCCTTTAATCGCGACAGTTCCTGGAGGTCTTTCACATACTAATATATCATCGATGTATCTTTAACAGATGCGAGGTTTCCCTGTGATTTTGAAGATGGTATCTTCTTGTGTTCTCATATAGAAGTTAGCCAGAAGGACTCCTAGTGGGGACTCCATGACTACTCCGTCAATCTGCGTATACATGTCTTCCCAAGGAATGACTACAAGAGTAACATTCCTAGATAATAAACATAAGAAAGCAGCCTAGCAACTTAAGTTCATGGAGAATATCACAATCCGGAGAGCCGATGAAACCACAGCCTTCGTCCTCATCCCGACTGATGAATATGTCACAGAACTAAAATAAATCCTCCAAGATGAAACCAAATTCAAGAGGATTATTAGAAACCCGAGTGAGGACTTCAAGAAAATCAAGCCAACCGTATAACTGATGCACTTAATGCTAAAAAAAGGCAACACTATCTGCAAAAGGTCCTGTAGACGGAGTAGTCATGGGGTTTATATTTTTAATACAACCAAAACGAATTATTATATATGTTTCGAATGTTTCTGAGGCCCATTATTTCCCCGTGGGCCCAGAAATGTATTTCCCTAAATAAATAAACATTATTATCATTATGATTGACTAAATTTAGTTCTTGAAGGCGAGATCAGGAGAGAACATGAAATGTAAGACTGATTTATTAGCCTCCACTAGTAAGATCTGGGTGCAGCACAAAAATATCTTCCAATATTCCTGAGTGGATGAAGCACTTACAGAGTATCCAATAGAGGAGCATACATCAGCTTCCCAGGAAGTATGGGACAAAACTTTAAATTCGAAATCCGCCAACAAAAAACTAACAGCATTACCTTGCAGCAGATTGATGGAGTAAATTAGGACCTTGGAGTCAGAAACCATCATTCACTGAAAGTTGTACAAGTGAAAGCAGTGAAGAAAGCTAACCAAAATCTAGGAATAATCAAGCGTACTTTTGACATAGAGGAAAAGAAAGTAGAGTTATTCAACTGTATAAATCGAAAGACATAGCTTCATTGGAGAAAGTTCAACACCGGCCGGGCAACAAAAATAATTCCAAAACTAATTCAATTCTCATGTTAGGAAAGATTGAGGGCCACAGGACTAATGACAGTGCAAACGAGACATGATAGAAATGTTATACAGCTTGCAATAATGTAAAAATACCAATTTTATGTAATCTCACAAACTCACTGTAAAGATGCTATTTTCCCCCACAGGTTTATTAACCCATGGAGCCGCCTACCCGCCAAAGACGCAACTGCCACAACTGTGCTGAGTTTCAAGATATACATTTAAACGGTAAATTCAGGTAAAAGATCATTAAGGCAAATGGGAGGACCTTTTTGCGGAACCTTAGGACTACGAATCCCGAGCACTGTCCACTCAGTTGTCAGGGCCCCTTGACAACCCGCCGGCTTCCTGTCCTCGTCGAAGCAACTAGAGTTAGTGGCCCCTCAGGTAAATCAGATAATTTAGGTTTGTTAATACATTGCTATGTATACCTAAGTTTGTTAATACGAAAAGTTTGCAAATAAAAACATTGTTTAGAATCGATAACTAAACCTATAATTGAACTCAAAATGTATTAGATTTATCATTTATGCCATTAGACAACAATGACACTTTCTTGCACCGTGGGGGATTAACCCCTTTCACATTTTAATCTCTCCCTTTCCACCCAAAAAACAAATTTAAAGATCAGCCCAAGTTTTGTCTTAAATCAAAGCTCGACTAGTTAAGCCATACCGATACTGTCCACAGAGCAACACCACCTCCCTCCAACACCTCCCAACCCACCTCCCACCTCCAACACCTCCCAACACCTCAAACCAATTCTATTTGCTGACGACACAACCTTCATTTACTCCAGTCCTGACCCTCTTGCTCTAAATGCCACAGTAAATACTGAGCTAAATAAAGTCCATCTTTGGCTAACTGCCAACAAACTCACCCTTAACATTGACAAAACCTTCTATATTCTGTTTGGCAATAAATCCTCTAGTCTTATAAATCTCAAAATTAACAATACCCAAATTTGTAACAAATTAGATGGCAAATTCCTTGGCATTCTCATTGACCACAAGCTGAATTTCCAGGGACACATTCTAAATATATCAAAAAAAGTTTCAAAAACTGTGGGCATTCTTTCTAAGATCAGATATTATGTACCACGCCCTGCTCTGGTGACTCTCTATTACTCCCTTATCTATCCTTATCTCAACTATGGTATTTGTGCTTGGGGTTCTACTACCCAAAATCACTTACGTCCTCTAATTACCCAACACAAAGCCGCTATTAGAACAATATCCAACTCTGGCCCCAGACATCACTCGGTACCCCTACTCAAATCTCTTAATATGTTAGATATTAAGTCACTGCACATTCTCTCATGTGTATTATACATATATAAACGCTAAACTATAATGCCAATCCTGATCTTAAAAGCTTCATAGAAGGTTGTAACAGAACCCATGAGCACCACACCAGAAATAAATACAGTTTTGATATTCCTAGAGTACGTCTTAATCAAACTAGAAATGCTCTGCAAATCAAGGGGCCCAGAATGTGGAATGACCTTCCCAACCATGTTAAAGACTGTACCTCTCTCAACCAGTTTAAGATAAAAACTAAACACTACCTAATAAATTCCCTGTAATCTACCTCACTCCTCTATTGTCAACCCATGTCTGTTATTTTTTTTTTTTTTTTTTTTTTTTTTTTTTTTTTTTTTAATCAACACTGTTTGTCAACCTATTGTATTTGTGCTGCTTTTTCAGTCATGTTCCCCCTTTTTTTTATCTTTATTTGTATTTGTTCTCAACATCTTTTATTCTTTATGCTCAATTAGTATTAAGTTCTAGATATTAATGTTTCTCTTGCCCGAAACGCATTGCGTAATAGTGGCTTTAGGCATTGTATGTACTAGCTCTATCTATATATCAATCCATTAATGTAACATCACTTGTATGTATATACCTTACCTGAATAAACATCTGAATCTGAATCTGAATCAGAGCAGTACTCTCTCTCTCTCTTATATTCCTGTGAGATGGGAATATTAGATAAATTATTAGATTTTTTCAATTTTGCTAGAAATTACCTACTTAAAATTATCTGTTAGATTAAGGACCTGCCCGAAACACTATGTGTACTAGTGGTTTCACAAGAATGTAAAAACATTAGTGCTTTATACTTTCATAAACCCAATGTACCTTCTTGTATCTATAAATAAATAAATAAATAAATAAATAAATAAATAAATAAATAAATAAATAAATAAATAAATAAATAAATAAATAAATAAATAAATAAATAAATAAATAAACTTACAGCTAGTCTTTGATCTACACTGTGTAATCTTTCATATAGGGTAGCAGCACATTGCTGTGAATACCTAAGCTTGTTAATAAACAAAAAACTCTCTGTCTCAAGCCATGTACTCCGATAGCAATAACCAAAATGTGCCTGACAAGACATAATTGTACTTGTCTAAATATACTGTAAATATGTTCATACATATACTGTATAAACAATTTACGGTATATTTATATACCGTAAATAGTTCACCGTCGATGCAAATAATCAAATAGCTTAAGTTAGGTTCAAGGAGATATTTGATTCTTTCTCTCAGCATCAAGACGTAGCATTACCAAGGTCAACACTCATCTCGAACACGAGCATACAGTAGAAATTCCTAAGAACCTGTGTAAGAAAATAAGCTTAAAATAATATATTTTTACACTATGACCTGGTAGCGTATAGTATGGAGGAGGATAAGAGGAGAAAAGTGGAGTAAAGTGGTGAAGAAGGCGTGATGATGACCTTGGCGGCGCTGGGAGCTGCGGGTCATGGCATCTATACTCTCAGCATTTCACCTTCCATAGTCAACAACAAAGTGAGCGTGACAAAATAAAAAAGTTAAAAAAAAGTCAAAACAGCATCTCTGACTATTATACAACAATATAACCAGGATGGAGGTAGACGAAGACCTCGAGGCGGGTCTTCTCCGGCAGTTTAACTGCATGTTAACTACTGACAAGGAAGTCCTGGTGAAGGAATTACAGACCCTAGTTGGTGCGCATCTTAATGAACATTCTGCTCGTTTTTATCTGGAAATGACCGATTGGTGAGTGTACGGCTAATTGTGTACTTTTGTTATCATTTGTAGATTGTCTAAAGGTTACTGAACCAGTTGGTTAAGTAGTTTGTCTAATTAGGCATTGACTCCTGAGGTCTTTCATATGGGGTGTCATCTTATTATTCGTCAGCTCTTTAGCTTAATTACTACATATGTTGACTAAAGTGTGAGAGGGGTTGACAAGTTGCCATGAGGCTCTGGTTTAGGTTTATTATACTGCTACCAAGGCAGTGATTGTAGAACTAAAACCTGCAATCACTGTTTGTAATTTTTTTGGATGCAGATAATTTATTTTCTGTTAGGGATAGATAGATAGTTTATTTTCTATTATTTTCTGGCGCCTGACAGCTGGGTGGACAGCGCTTTGGATTTGTAGACCTGAGGTTCCGGGTTCAATCCCCGGTGAAGGCGGAAACAAATGGGCAAAATGTTTCTTTCACCCTGATGCCCCTGTTACCTAGCAGTAAATAGGTACCTGGGAGTTAGACAGCTGCTACGGGCTGCTTCCTGGGATGTATAACAAAAAGGAGGCCTGGTCGAGGACTGGGCCACGGGGACGCTAAGCCTCGAAATCATCTCGAGATAACCTCAAGATATAGGGAAAGAAAAATGACAGTAGTTAGTCAGCTGTGCTCCGCCAAACAGTACTTAGCAGAATATAATCTTAAAGAGTGGATGAGCTACGACACATACAACAAATAGATGTTAGGTAACTGAGATAAGAGACCTGTTGAGTTTTTAATACTATACCATTGCCATGGTATTTTACCTATACCTGACAAAAAGCTATGTTGATCCTAAGGAAAAGTTTTGTTTGTACAGTATAGTGGTTACCAGGGAGGAAGCTATTAAATAAATCAAGAAATTAAAGCCCAACAAGTTCCTATGGCATTTTAAATTATCAGAATTCTTAAAGATTGTGTAACAAAAATGATATGATTTTGGGTGACAACATTCAATGAGTATGGTAGTTTTTGTTGTTTAATATAATTTAGTTACAGCAGTTGGCTTGTTATTGGTAATGGTGTTGTGATAGGTTGACATGAGGATGGTTGTTACATGCTGCTGGTGGAGTCATGGGTGGATGTGGTGCTGAAGCGAGACCCGGAAACGAGAGTAGACAGCTTGAGTAGGGCTGAAAGTGGAGAGCTCAAAGGAGGGTGAGAGCTGGGAGCTCTGAGGAGGGTGGGAGTTTAGAGCTCACATAAGGGTGAGAACAGAGCTCAAATGAGGCCAGGATTGGCTGTGCTTTATAATGAGGCTTGTAGCATCTGGGGTGATTTGGAACTTTGACAATGCTGTTTTTTTGACCTTGTTATATCTGCAGTCACCTGACTGTGTGGTGGTTTCCCCCCAATTGAAACTGTATTTCCAGTGTATAGTGGGCCAATTCTTCACTGTGAGTGGCATTGCATACTGTAAAGTGGTGTTGTGATAGGTTCTTCACAATCTATCACAGAACTTTGTTGTTTTAGGTTGTGTGTGTATGTTCCCTGGAATCTGTTACCATCATATTTTCTCGGTTCAGACTTGGTAATTGGACAGCAGTGGTATGGTCCCTTGACTTTATAAAGATTCATTTAGCTGAATTTACCTGAATTTTTAGGTTTTTGAAACTGAACTCCATGACATAAGCTTTTGTGGCTGTGTACAGGGTATATTCAGTTGCTACTTCACTATGTGTATGGGCATAATCTGATCTATTACCTTCCAGGTCATACCATGGCAGTTTTATTGACTGTAACTTTTTTTCTCTCCTCAGGTCACTGGGATCTCTCGCTTTTTGTTGTCTGCTATTAGATTGAGTTAAATTTGAGAATGCTGATAACTTGTCTTGGCACCCTGGCTGCTGTCTTGTATAGTGGTCATGGGTAGAGAATCTGGTGACCTGTCATTATTAGCTGCAATTGTTTTACTCCTAAGTATTAGGCTACAAGGTGCAGCATTATGGAGAGTGATAAAATGTTGCTTGATGCTTCAATGAGGATTCCTGTATGAAGTATTCTGCACCGTATTTTGAACCCAATAGCCAGCTTTTGTCCTTCCTATATTCATTGCTGGATTCAGGGTCATTACTAATCTTGGAATCTGCTTTTGGGTTCTTCAGTTAGGTCTCAAATGATGTTTTAAGTGCTCAGCTTTCAATCCCTTCCCCCCATACTGGCAATAGTGACTCTGAAGGCTGGAAGTTCTGTTAATTCATTGTCATGGGGTATGCCTTGGAAGTATGAACATCAGCTAGGGCTTCTGATTCCCCATCCTTGTGGTTTGGGCCAGCTTGGTGCCTTCTTTTGATAATTACCTACTTTGTAGGGGGGGTAAACAAGTGAGCTTTTCTTTGCCTGTGAATCAATACATCCCTTCAAACAGTCTATCTTCTAGTACTGGCTTGTGGTTGAATTCTACCCCTTAGCTTGGCTCAATGACAGGCTGTTCCTCTTTCTGGTTGGGGAGATGGACCTGCATTGCATTGAGGATTAGGCTTGGCTGTCCTTTGACCCTACCTGTGATAAGGTTCATAAGTCTAATATCATCTACTTATAAAGTGAAGGAAGGGGAATTTTGTACCCACATTTCAGTGTGAGTAGGTTGTCTCCTTTAGCCTCAAGTTTGATTTATTTTTCCTACTAATTGGGAGGAAGCACTAACTCTCCTAAGGTTTCAGCAGTCGAACCTCCCAGCTGTTCAGGCAAGGTGGGACTTGAAACAGTTTTGTCTGTGGAATGGGGATCATGCCTCAGAACTGAATACAGCTCTTTTGGAGATTGGTCCTATGTCAGCCTCCTGACTGTACCAGGTTACTACATCAGAACTGGTTGACAAGTAATGCTTTATTTTCTTTTGAGAAATGGCAGCTGTACTGTCAGTCCAAGGCTCTTGGAGTGGAAATAAGTTTCACCCATTTTTACTTGGTAATTATCAGTGAACACTTAAAAGACTTCCTTAATAAGGTCTTCTGTGCCTTTATGCATCCTCAAAATGTGGCCTGGCAGTGGCCTCTCCAGGTTTTCCTTTTTTGCCTTAGTATGTCATTGTAGTAGATCTGAGGGCACATTCTTGCCCTGCAGATGTGAAGCTCTTCTGTCCAGAGATTTTTTCCTCCCTCCCAGCTTAAAGTGTAGTTGGCTAGGCTGCCAGGCATTGTGTGTTCTGGCCCTCTCTTTAGTGTCCAGCAGCTGAAGCTTTGCCTATGATGTTTGCTCTGGTCCCATGTTACTCATTTGCTGACTTCTTTGTTACACATCTTATAGGTGCTTGGTTTTGAGCCAGTTCTAGAAGTCCACCTCAATGATCTCCCTGTTGTCCTAAAAAAGTTTGTTCACTTGATTATTCCGTGATGAAGTAAAGATGTTGTTGCTAGATTATAGATTGTTACTCAGCTTTTGAATCAGGGTTCGGCACCTGCTTCCTTTCAAAATAGAGGTGCTTGGAGTTTTATCTCTTAGACTCCTGCTTGGGGTGGGAGCCTAGGTTTGTAGATTCTCTAGATGAGTGCTGTGGTGTCTCCTGCTGCCCCTTTGCTTCCCTCATGCTTGCAACATTCCATATAACAACCTGGCTTGGGCTTTACGTTGGTGACATATCTTACTACTTTTACTTGCACCTTTTCGTGTTGAAATCGGGTCATTGTTTATCAGATTCACTAGGTTGATTCTTTAAGTAATTCAGTTGTCGGGGATCAAGGTCTTGGCCTACCTTACCTTGAGGTTACCTTGAGGTGCTTCTGGGGCTTAGCGTCCCCGCGGCCCGGTCGTCGACCAGGCCTCCTGGTTACCTACCCCAACATTTGGCTCATCTGAGCCCCAGTGTTCAGCAGTGTCTGCTTGCCAGGGATTGTATGTGTGTGATGCTGGACAGATTTTACTTTCTAGTTAACAGCTTGAAGTCCCACCTCCAGCCTTCTCAGATGTCCATGTTCTTTTCTGATGGGGTTTCTTATTTATGTATAGTTTTTAAGCAGCTCTGCCACATGTGTCAGGAGTTTAAGAAGGATATGTGTAGTTCATATTTGCCTGCGTGTTGCATTTAGGAGTTGCATCTGCATGTTGCATCTACAAATGCAGCACAGGAGACAGCAGTCCCTGAGATATAATGGTAAAACACTCGCTCAGCACTTCGCAAGCGCTTTAGCCTGGGTTCGTATCCTGGCCAGGGACGATTTACTTGGTGCCAATCTTTAACTGTAGCCTCTGTTCACCCAGCAGTGAATAGGTACCTGGTTGTTAAATGATTTGGTGTGTCGTATTCTGGGGAAAATTAGGATTAAGGACTTGACAGAAATTCTATGCATGCTAGTGGCTTTACAAGAATGTAAGAACTCTTGAATATACTAGTACTGTATATATATAAAAAAAATATATATATAATCTCCTGTGCTAGGTCTGGCTTAAGGAATTTAAAATATTCCTCAGCTTTTAAATTAAGGTCTATTCCGACTCGTGGATTACTTCATATTGTTTTCGTCGACAATGCTCGTCTTCAGGCTTAACAGTTTCTTCTGGCAGCTTTTTGGAGTTGAGTGTCCTGGAGGCCTCCACATCTATCCCTTGAGCTCTTCGCTGATACTTTTAGTGTGGGCTTGGGCTTCGTCTCTAACCTTGAAAATGTACGTCAAATGCATCGGTCTCTTGGATTGGTGAGAGCTCATATCAGTGTGCAGAAAATGGTAGTTGTTTAATAGCTCTGAAGCTTATAGCTCTTTCAAGAGGCTTGGTTGTTCGGAGAAGGGCATGATAATCATCTAGGTTTCCTATCTTCCCTAGTACCTTAGCATCATCAGCAAACATGTTCATATAATTTTGTATTCCTTCTGGTAGATAATTTATATAGACAATGAACATAGCTGGTGCAAGAACTGAACCCGGTGGTATTCTGCTAGTAACTCCTCCAGTTACATCCAGTCAGATACATTGCCTATAATTACCACCCCTCATCTTTTTGTCATTTAGAAAACTTTTCATCAATGTCAGAAGTCTCCCTGTCAATCC